TGTGAACTTCCAAACAAGAGTGAACTTTCAAAGTCAGTTTTCTCAACTCTTGATTTTCGCCTATGTGCCTTCGCTAGAACATCTGTCATTTTCTAACAAAGACTGATAGAGTCGTTCCGTTTTTTGCACTAGGCTCAGGAGGCCTTTAGCAGTGCAATAAAGCTTTATCTCTCTTCTTACTCATCATTTAAAATTCTTAGAACACATTTTATAGTTACTGCGATGTGTGTGCAAAACAACATCCATGTTTTGGAAATTTTATTTATGGTTACAAGAACTAGAAAAATCAACTAATAGCTTCTTTGCACAAGTTGATGCTTTGGGAACATAATAATATGAAAAAATAATTTCATTTAGCAATAATTATCTCTTTAAGTGTGAATAGCATTAATTAGTATAATTATGCTTGTAACTCAAAAAGTACAAGAGGTATTTGAAAACGGTTTTCATATTTGGAATCCTCACAATCATCCACATACACACACCAAATTTCATCACAAACAGTACATTAATAAAAAAATTAGTTTTACTTGCCACGTCCCCCCTTAATCGCCGGTAGCCGACGCAAAATCGAATTGATCCATCCTTCTTTCGAACTAGAACGACAGGAGATGCCCAAGGACTGTGCGATGGTTGAATAACGCGACGGCGTAGCATCTCTTCGACCTGGTCGTTGATGACGCGACGTTCTGCAGCAGAGACACGGGACGATCTTTGACGCAATGGCTGGTGCGAACCGGTGTCAATGTAGTGGTGCACTGCGGAAGTCCGACCCAATTGCGGCTGAGAAACGTCGAATGAATTCGCGAAGTGCTGGAGGAGATTAAGAAGCTCGGCGCGTTCATGGGCACTTAAGGTGTCGGCGATGGAACTCGAGAAGGTGTTACTCGATGAGCATTCCAGTGGGGAAAGGGCATGAAGTTCGGTCGAGGCGCTACTGGACGATTTGTCTGGCATGTTAAGGAATAAAGAGGAATCGAGGTACTTCACTCGACCGAGACATTCGCCGGCAAGTAGCGTAAGCGGTGCAGAAAGGGGGTTGTGGACGAAGATATTGCTTCGGCCCGCAGTGACGTCGAGTGTAGCGAAAGGCAAGGAAACGGCTCTGCGGCTCATGAAAATGTCGGAAAGTGTAAACATTACTGTGGCGTCGTTATGGTCATCGCAGCAAACAGGGACAACGGCAAGAGAGGCTGGCGGAATTTCAGTGTCTTCACGTACGACGAGTTTTGGGGACCGCTCAAGAGTTTCGTGCAAAGGTTCGTCAGACAGGTGCGAAAATTGAACTTCAGCGCGTGCGCAGTTGATGACGGCATGATGATGTGACAGGAAGTCCCACCCGAGGATAACGTCATGCGAGCACACCGAAAGGACGAACTCGACAACGTACATAGAGCCTTGGATGAAAATGCGGGCTGTACAGGTGCCGAGAGGTCGAACTGGTTGTGCGCTAGCCGTACCAAGGGATAGTCCAGAGAGCGGCGTAGTCACTTTGCGTAGGGAGCAGCAGAGCTGGGCGGCTATAACAGAAACGGCAGCACCAGTGTCGATGAGGGCAAAGGTAGAAACACCATCGACAGATATGGCGACGACGTTAGCAGGTGAAGTGCGAGGACTTGGGCATTTCGATGACGGCGCAGTTCTTGCCTCTGGAACTGCGGCGTTCAGTTTTCCCGGTTGGAGGAAGCGGGTTGGGGACGCATTGGGGACAGAGATCGCCTGCGAGGAGACGGCGAGCGGGGAGAGTGAGTCGGAGCTGGGGGCTGGGGTGACTTAGACTCGGGAAGATTAGTGTAGCCATACTGCGGTGAAGGATAGGGAGCAGGTAGGTGCGTGGGCTGTGGGTCATACGGTAACGGCCAAGTAGCGTTGTGTTGCGAGTGGAAGCGACGACGACAATATCGTGCCACGTGTCCTGGAGTACCGCAGGCGTAGCAGATCGGTCGATTGTCAGCAGTGCGCCAGGAATTGCTGACTCGCGGTGCGGCCCAAGGTGTCGAAAGAGGGGTAGAGTGGGGAGCAATTGCAGGCATGGGTGGCAAAAGCTGCTGGCGGGGTCTGCTGCGTACCACCTGGGCATAAGTAAGAGGCGCGGCCACGGGCTGCATAGCCGGCGCATGTTGAACAGGCATGGCCACAGGCTGCTGGTGGGCAGCGACGGGAACAGCCTGAGCTACCTCTTCAGCAATAACATCGCGGAGTGGTGAGGGCAAACGAGAGGACGGCGGCTGCTGCGTGAAGGAAATCAACGACAGCTGCCGAGCTACTTCTTCACGCACAAAGTCTTTGATCTCTTGCAGGGTTGTTGAGTAATCAGGAACAGAAGTAAGACTAGATAGTGAGTCAGCGTGTGAGGAAAATGGCCGAGTCAGGGCGCGCTGCTTCCTTAACTCGTCGAAACTTTGACATAAAGTCACAAGTTCCGCAACGGTGGCAGGATTGCGCGCCAGGACCATCTGAAATGCGCCGTCATTTATCCCTTTGAGGATGTGTTGAATCTTCTCCGTCTCGGGCATGGCGTTGTTCACACGGTTGCAAAGACCAATAATGTCTTCGATGTAACTGGTGAACGATTCTGATGGCTTCTGTGCGCGAGTCCGCAAGCGTTGTTCGGCTCTGGACTTGCGGACAGCGGGTCGGCCGAAAACGTCAGCAAACGACGTTTTGAAGATGGACCACGTCGTAATGTCGTTTTTGTGGTTGTTATACCACATTTCGGCCACGTCAGTGAGGTAAAAGATGACGTTAGTTTGTCCGCGTCATCCCACTTGTTGTTTGCGCTCACCAGTTCGTAGTTAGCGAACCAGTCTTCCACGTCAGTCTCATCAGCTCCGCTAAAGACTTTGGGCTCTCGCAAACGAAGAACGCCGGGGTTGCTGGGGGATGGAGTGGAAGAGCCAGGTTGCGCGTTGTTGGTAGCCATGATGGGAGGTAGCGTTCGGTTGCGCAGCTCCAGGTTTAGGCGACGGCGAATGGCAGCACCCAGGTTCAGGCGACAGGGAAAGTCGGCACCCTCCACCAATTGAAAAAGGGTTTATTGGCAACTGTTGCGACGGTGGTCCTACGATGAAACACGATCGGGCAAGAGCAACGGTCAAGCAGATGCCGGCGATGATCAGCACGAGCCGAGCGAGAGAAACCCAGCACACAGTACCCAAGCGGTGGCGATGTTGCTTGACAACGATGCGTTTTCTTCTTCACAATTACAACATGAGCAAAAATGCAAAAGAATATCACGTTCACATCACGGTTATCCATATTTATTGGAATACTTGGACACTTATCGCAAGGCTACGAGAAGAGTGTACGAGTACACTTGTGTCTCACGAAGACCCACGCACGCAATGCTTCAACGCATGGCATAAACAATGAAGCAGCACCTCGGTTCTGTTTTTCTTTGTCTATGTGAAGAAAAATATTTTGTACAACATTTTTATACTGTTCCTGAGTCTTTTATCTACAAAATGCATATTATGAGTATTCTCTGTTTTGAATATTTTTGCATAGTGTTTTTTATTCCACTGTTTACAAGCTGGTGATGAAAAATTTCACAATTTTAACATTTTTATTCATTCTAAAATATTTTTGTTGCTTTACAATATATATTTTTTGGAAAGAGCATTTCATTCTGCAAAGTTTGATATACTGCAATGCATGCTGGAGTATTTTTCAAACTGGCAAAAAAGATCTCCCTGAGACATATGAAAAACAACCATTCTAGCGGGGTAACGAAAGAGTCAAGGAGGCTACCATGGGAGGGCAATTTTATTATCTCCACTTTTCCGCCTTTTCTGCTTGAGTTGCAGCTGTTTTTGAACCTTATTCACAAGGAAAGGGTCTTTTTCCGCTGCCTGTTGGTTGCTGGCATAACGCCATCAGTTGCCAGCATAGCGCCGAGCTTTGGTAACACAGCAACAAGTTCGCTATCCTCCGCAGCTAACTCCTCGCACGTCCAAAAACGTGTTGGCAAACGCAGAGTCGACGACGCGGTCGCACTGTTCGGGGCTGTAGTCACTGCAGTTAGCGAGCATAACGCACCAGGCGCACTTGAGCACAAAACACAAACAGCAACCTTACTTGTGACAACAGAGCGTTGCACCGATACTCGATGTTGCAATAAGCATCAATGCAGACGTCATTTTGAAGAGACAAAGGAGAAGCCACTCAGCACCGATGCAACTGTAGCTCACGCGTTGGCTTGTGAACGAGCTTCACAATGCGTACGAGCTTCATCGGACGCTTTCTTAAACAGAACGCGTGCAGAGTCCCAAACTTTGCCCTGCCCATCGTTAGTGACGTGACAACAATCAGCGTCCAGTGAACACTGCGAAAGATCGTCTTGTGAATACGGTGAAAGATTGAAGAGCACGCGTGAGAATTGAGCGGAATGATGGCAAACGGGAAAACAATGCATGCCAAGAGAACACCGGCGCCGGAGCAGACGACAAGCCGGAGGGAACAGATGCGTCATTGCGCGCAGCAGCCAATAGGAGCTGCGTGATCGCCCCCTCCCTCGAGAGGCGCGCACTTCCTCCAATTGTGGCTTCGCATTTGAGCCACGGGAAACTTCATAACTTCGAGAGCCCCCCAACCATGAGCGATTCCCGTGCTGCCACGCCACTGCTGCTGCCGTGGTGGCGAAAAAATAAAAAGGGGTGGGGCAAAAATTCACGAGCAAAACAAGACCAAGATGGCGGCGCTGGGCTGTGTGGTTGGGAAATTGCAAAAGCGCGAAGTTGGGGTATTTTCAGCGCTCGCTGGCCACTCGCCAACTGCCTTGGCATGTTATATAATTTATTTATTTATAGAACAGATAGTTTATAAGACATATGACCCGAATATGTGGTTTTCAAAAAATGAACTTCTTCGCAATTTTTCGGTTTTCAAAGGGCGCGTCCTAAAAGGTCGCAGCTCCAACTTAGTAAAGCATCACGCAAATAACTTTTCTTTTTGGAAACATTTCCGAATGTCAGCCGTGAGGCAGGAAACTTAAAACTCACCGCCATAGCCAGAATGACGTCCCCTTCCGCAAAGGGTTCTCCGTAGTCCTTGAATTTGCAGTTCTCCGAAATTTTGCCCGTACCACCGAAGCCGTACGACAGCGGTTCCTCACCTGCAACGAAGGAAAACCACTTTTATTACAGACTCCTACAGCACAGCCGCCGCAAGCCCTACACAGTGTTTTCATACATAGTGTGAAATATAGTGATGGCTACAAAGGAGTTCGGTGAGCAAACAAAAATTTAAGACAACACACAAGTCATAGATTTTTAAGTGGAAACATCTCACTGCTACCAAACTAGGGCATGATTAATGCTAGGCAGAAGCAGCGGCGACACTCACCTAACTGCATAGATGTGTCCTCCGTGGAGAAGCCGACACGGGCAACGTTAGGTGTGGGTTCGTCCGACGGCAAATGCGAGACGTCCAGGTACTTAGTGATCTGTTGGCAACAAGAACTCAATAAAACACCATCACACGGCCCCGTGGCCAGCACCATCACAAACGCCAAATGCATTCGGTTGGGTTATTGCAGTCATGGAAGCAGCAACTTGACGAAAGACATGCACCTACGCAGTTTGAAATTTCACTTCACTAACAGTGAGGCTGCTGATGATCGCCCTGTGCCCGTGTAGGACATAGCTGGTCTTAAAACTCCCACTGTTACATAAATTTTGGCTCACAAAAAGGTATGTCAAATGCTCGGCATTTTGAAAGCTGCAAATTGTACCATAAAAATACAGCTGACTCTAAATAAAAAAAATATCTTGGAACTGCTGCTTAAATGAAAAAGTTACCTCTACCACAATTGCTTTTCATACTTGGATTCTCCACCCTTTTCATGGCTCAGTAAACGAAATTCCTGTTAAACAGAACACATTTTCCTGGTCCCTTAAGATTTCGTTTAATGAGAGTCTACTGAAGCGGCACATTTGAAATCATGACTTGGAATACATAAACTGTGAGGAAGTCTTATAAAAATCCATTCACAAATAAACGAGAATTTAAAGCAAAGTTTCCCCTACATGTGTACACCCCTCCCTAAAAAAAAAAAAAAACATCCAAGTCCACTTATTGTATTAGATACTGACAACTCTAAGACACTCATTAGAGTTGTGCGATTTCAGACCTCTAAACGACAGCTGTGAAGTGTGAAAAAAGAAAAGTGAACTCGCCTTTGTCTCAAAGCAGACCTTGCCCTTGTTGACGCCGTAGGATGCCCTTGCCCCTGCCCACATAAGGCCAAAGCCATGCTGACTCATGGACTCTGCCTCATACCGGCTGTCATCTATGCACAGGTTCAAGTCCGAGTTATCTGCACACACACACACACACACACAACACCTCCTGTTTACTATAGCTGACACTGAACAGACAAACGCAGTTTGGGTTCACAGTGAACTATCGAAATAACACGAAACCAGGGTTCAGAGGTGTGGAACACTTACATGTGTCGAGAGTGACCAGTGTGATGTCAAAGGTCTCTTCGGGAAATTCCTCCACCTCTGCCTTCACCTGCGGAGATCTTGCCCTGTGACAAAGAAAACGGACTGGACCTTAGCACTTGCCCAAGTTCTCAACAAAACATGCGACACACACACACAAATACCCACACAAAAGAAAAGTACGAAATTTTGGCCCCTCTTTCTAAGAGCATTTCTCCCTGTAAGAGCACTTCTCCCTGGAGCGGCTGTACATCATTTCTTACATTAGCATTTCGTAGAGGCAGCAGCTGCTGTTTTTATGAGTGAACCTTAATTTTGCAAACCTTTGCCCGAAAAACAAAACGTCACTCTACAAGCAATACAAGCTGTAGACTGACAGCAGTAAACAAACCAGAGCATCGGTCGTCGATAATCTGCCAAGCAGAAAAGTGCGTCCGCATTTACACATGCGCTATGGAAGGTTCCAATGACGGCTGAGTAAGTAATCTCATCGGAAGGTTCAGAGGTTATCTAGATTGTTCACAGTCATTCTAGCGCGGTTTGCGCAAGACACGCGTAATGGTGCGTAGCAAAAATAGAAAGGGAGCGTGTGCGGCATTACGATTCCAACATTACAAATTCTTGCTATTGCAGTCATCGCTTCGCCGGTAACGCCGATTTTAATTTTTTTCAGTTTACAGTCGTCGATCGTTTTTCGGACATGCCTGTTTATTCGGACATCTTCATGGCCCCGCCACTCTCCCCATTGATCCTAATGTAAACTCACGAACTGAAATTCGGACGCCCCACTGTGCGTCATTCGATTATTCAAACTCCGTTTGACTGACCGGATGTGTCGAAGTACGCCATTACACGCCGACAGCGACGTTAACAATACGTTTGCTAGGTTGCTAGCACTGATATGCTGCACTAGCTATGGATGGATGTCGGGCCTGTGTCAAAATGCACGCGGAAATCGCCATTGTCGATCTCGAAGGCTATGTGTGGCGACGCTTCTTATTTAAAAAAAAATAAGTTGCCAGTCGAGCGGCCAAGCCACCTACAGAGTCTGTTCGCAGTGGCATTTGTCAGCAGTGTCAGTCAGCTGATTCTGCGGCTAGGCCTGGTTCGTCTTGTTCTCTGTGTTCTCGCTCTCTTGCGTGTTCCGTGGCGTGCTGAAATGGCTACGACGCCACCCATTGCTGCGCCGTCAGGAGTGAAGAAACACGGCCAACGTGGGAGCTACAAGACGCTCACGATGACGAAGAAAGCGGAGATAATTCGCCAAGTAGAAGGCGGCCGACCTCAGTCTGAAGTGTGCGTGTGTGCAGACATGACAGTTTTTTTTCGGGCAATAGGGTCTATAAAAGTGCCTTTTTTTTTCGAGTGGATCCGTTTTTTCAGACTCCCGATTATTCAGACTTTTTGGCGGTTCCCGTCGAGTCCGAATAAATGGTCGGTGACTGTATATGATTTGGCTAACAGCTTCGCTGTTAAAACATATATAGAGTCGCTTAATAAGGTATGCACACAAACGCCACCTTAACAATCAAGATTCATGCATGAACCGAAATACAACGCGACCGAACTAATTTGGCGTCCTTTGTGTAGCCCACGCGTATTGCTCTGTCGATGATAAAACTCGTCTTAATTTGGCGTTGCACACGCAAATTGCCATTTAGACGCAGCAGGTCAGATTGGCGCAGAAAGGCACAAATGGCGCAGCACTTCCACCCCTGTGCACTGCAGCATCAGCTACACTTGAAATATCGTGTGAATGCAGTACACACTATTGATTGCCGACGATGTTTATGCCAACTCCACTTTACTCTCCCGCAGAACTCCACGTTGTGGGAATTGAGGCTAGCTCGCTGCCATTGCTCAGGCTTTGCCGCCTTTTCTGCAGTTCTCATGTCTCGACATGGCTCCCTTCCTCCACTGTCTGCCCCGCTGGGAGAGCAAGGAGTGACGCTTAACCTCTCACACCCGGTAGCAGATGTGGACTGTGGCGCTGCGCGCAAGGTCTCCGGAGAGGTTTCGCGTGCGTGCGTCGGGAGAGAGTCAGATTCTCCGGGACAGCTTACAATGAACGCACATTCCCTTTTTTGTCTGCCGACTCCCGTTGTTTGGGGCTCGTCGGACTTTGCTGATGGCGCCTCGCGCCCAATGCGAACGGTCACTTTTTGTTGCCTCTTTGCGTAGGCTCGACCAAAGGGCGGTACGGCGTCCTAGTGCGTGGCCAAGCTAAGCCAACCCGTCTCTCTCCGGAGCCTTGCTCGAGCAACCTGGATTGGTCCCGGTTGCTCGAGCAACTGGGCCTTGGTCCCGGTATCTCCGTGAATCACTTTTACGACAGAGACGTGCTCGTGGCACCCTGTGTAGTACTTTTTGCCCGTGGTGTGGATAAGCCCATTTGCTTTCCCGCCGCGCCTTTGCAATGGGTTGTACCGCATTTTTGTGTTACCACAGATAATAAAGTGTTGCGACCTTGAGCAGTATCGTGTTCTCGCCACGGCAACGGTTAACGCGTGCACTGCGGCTCGCCAAGACAGGACCCACGCTAGTGGCCACACTCCTTCAGGATACGTGTCACTACAACGTATGCGCACACGGCTTATTAGTGTAGTTACCTAACAACTGATCATTCGTTGACTTGGCTATCCAGTGAAGACTACTTCTATGGCTTTCACAGTGGTTCATAAAAATTTTCTGGCGTCAAAGCCCAGCATAGTAAATAACACGTCAGGCTTTCAAACGACATGAAGACGAACCGTATCGCCAACGGACACATGTCCTGCCCCTGGTTTTACCGCTGCCCAAATGTAGGCGAGCAGCGGGGAATAGGGGACAAATTCTGCTGTCTCACGCACAAAAAAAAAAAACAAAACAAACATTGCCCCCTTCTTTATGAAGTGAAAGAAGACGGCAGCTCAGCGTGAAATGCACAGAAAAACTGGAACAACAGAGCCGCTGATTATATTTAAAAAAAAAAAAAAAACACCGTAGGATACACAAGAATTAAATGCAACGAAAACACATACCAGACAGCCCTCAAGGCAACTGAGCTAGACAACAACAGTGGATTGGTTGGCCGATATTACATTGTCTTTATCCAACATTTGATTTATTATTCATCCTTAGAGGCACATTGCAGCATCAGCAACACTACTGGTTGCGGGGCAATTACCATGTTTGCACACCTGAAATATGGCAGATGTGAACAGTACACACTACACAGCAGGCATACATTAGGCTCCGAGAAATTCAGGCCAGATACTACTCATGAAAGCGTCTCAACTATTAGTATGAGACAATAATTCCAGCCCCAAAGCGCAAAAAAGGACAGCAATAAGCATCAAAAGCTTGCCCATGAACTTTCTAAACAAAACATACTCGACGCTCATAACCCTCACGCAAGAATAAGAAAAAGTCTATGTCATCTCCCTCATTTTGTTACTTGGAATACAACATGTTTCACTGCTTCTACAAAAGAGTTTCTCTTAGGACAATGATATCATTAAGCAATGCTAACCATGAAATCAGCTTAATATCGCAGCTTTTTGTACAAAATCGGCAAGGTTGAGATAAAATTATTTAAGGATTATCTGTTAAACATGCATCAAAAAATATGAACGCAACAGCGAACGTAACTAAGCCAGAAAATCAGTTTCAGTACCCTAAAATGCACAAACTATTCCTATTTCAGTTTATATCAATAATGCTACACCACAGTTATTCCAAACAAAAAGGGGGGGGAGTAATAATAGGAGGGGCATCTTAGTTAGGCAACTGCATTAAAACATTCCATATGCATTCCAAAAACTATATGCTAGTCATAATACTGTCAAGAAAATTTGGTGAAGTTTACATGAAATTAGGACATGCTCCATAGGACTCAAACGGTACAGAATGTTGAAACAACATGCAGTCCCTTTTGGAGATCTGCCGATGTCAGCAATGTGAAGTCATGGCACTCACCTATTCCTCGGAGGGCTTGGCGACCTTTTCCGTTTCCCCTGCTGAGCATTAACTGCAAAAGAGGACAGATTATGGAAATACATCAGGAAGTGGCCAATATGCCTGGACTGAAGCTATTTTAGGTTGTGGTTGCTATTGTATTCCAGTTATGTTGCCCAAGTGGTAGAAATGACACTTCAAGCAGAGAATTTGTTGAACAAGAAGAACATCCTTAAATGCTAACGTGAAACACTTCATGCACGTGCTTCATTTTCGTCTGCACATGAGCGGCTGGCATAGCAATGATGGGGAATATGTTCTCTAGAACTAGCATCTTCAAAATTTTAAGTTCGGCCACAACTTGTCTCGACAGCACACTGTGGAAGCTACAGAACTAAAGTGCATGCCTGCTAGCACGCCGAAAAATAGTGCTCAAGTTTTCAGACAATTTTCTCTTTTGTCTTGCTGAAATTAATGCCACTTTATATATTATTACTCAGGCAGGTGTGGAGAATGTGGGTAAAACAGTTGTTCATTTTGCAATCATGCCCCCCCCCCCCCTCCATTTCAAAGACAGCACCGAGCACAGCAGTTTTCCAGAGTAAACATGGCGTCCATGACCTACAGTCACCTCCAGCTACAATGAAATTGATGGGACACACAAAGAAGTTTGTTGTCACCAAATTTCGTTGAAGCGCAATTTCATGTAGATGGATGGATAGATGAAAAACTTTTATTGGGGTTTTGAAGGATTCCACCCCCGTTTTATAGGGGTAGGATCGCGGGCCGCTCCCACATTTCATGTAGAGACCACAAAAATTAGGACGAGCTTATAATTATGACTCATCGTTTGATCTCTACAGCACATGCATTATCATTAGCATTGAATTCTCGCAAACACACTATACTCCGTTTCATACATCATGTGCAACGCTGTCAAAGCTAGCGCTCTTGATTGCGCTGTGTACTGCCGCGACCAAAAAGTAGTGCGTCGCTTGGCGTGTACGAGAATCAATAAATGCTTCTCGGGAAACTTCCAAGCATACATATTTGTCATCAGGTTAAAAAACAAACGCCTGTGTTGTCGGATAAACAATCCAAATATGCGTGTTGGTAATTTATGCTTGTCGCTTTCGTATCGGGTTTTCGCTCTCCACGCGACCCGCGCCGTCGTTCTTTTTTTTTTTTTTGCTTGTTGTAGCAGCTTCGAAAAAATGGCGTCCAGCTCTGCGTCTTCGACCACCTCTCCTGCGAGAATTTTTTCAAAGCTTCGCACATGTACCGCACAGTGCAGTGGAAGGTTGATTCCGCACTGTTTTGCTAAAACTGAACAGGTTTCTCTGCCGGCGGCCCGCTATAATCAATAACCTGCTGAGTGTTTAAAGAGCGGCACAGAAAAGTGGATCATCGGGGCAATGACGAAAACAAAAGTTGAAGGTGAGCACCTGTCGTTAACCCAGCCTCATTGGAGCTGCTGTGCTACCTAATCAATGAATTAACGTCATCTTACACGCAGTACTCGCTCACATCAACAAGGTAAACCGACAATGCGGTATAATCGCGACAAAATCGCCATGCTGGTCAAACCTCGGTGCCAGCTCAGCAGGTTCCGGCCCTCACAAGGGAACACGGTATGCTACAAATGAATAGATACGTGCAGTTCACTTCCGCGTGCAAGTAAGTTGAAGTTACTAAAAAAAAAGAAAAAAAACAAAAAAAGGAGATTTCGAATTGAACTCGCAAAAGTTATTTTATAAAATGGCACCACGTGGATTCGAACCCATGCACTTCAAAACTACGGTGAACTCTCCGGAGCGACGCGTCAGACCACTCGGCTACGAAACCGCGCGGAGCAACACCTCGCGTTTTCTTTACGGACTACTTGCCTAGCCTTCACAGCGTTGCACCTGATGTATGAAACGGAGTATAGGCCGCACACCGACTGAATGTAGTTTCTTGCTTATAACATGCACAAGATATACAGAAAATTGGGGCATAAAATTTCAGTACGAGTTATGCACGAATTTCCGTGTGCACCATGGTTTCACGACAATGCAAGAGAGGCATCAGGGGCCCCGAAACGACCTTTCAAACATTTGCTTTTTGTGCACTTGTTTTTAAAGGTAGGAGCTAGCTCAAGGCGGGACATTTGGACACGGAAGAATGCTCTTTGCGATGAGCCCAAGAAGGCAACTCTCGGCCACGTCATCACAAAGCTATATTTTTATGAAAATCGCTGCTTTCTAGCCATTTCCAGAAGAATTTTCGCTACCTAGGAAAGTGGAACAAATTTTCCAAAGCACTTCCGTGCATTTTCAGTGTAGATATTTTGGAATCAAATGGAAGAAGGGTTTCCACAAACTGATAATTTGATCTTTGGAAAATAGATTTTTTTTGTCAGTTTTCGCGATGCGAAAGCTGCGTCCCACCTTAAAATGGCTCGCAATGAGCATATTCGTACATGCCAGCAGAGCAGACAACTGCTCAGCTGCACATTCAACTTTCTTGTGCGTATTGCCACGCAAGATCAATTCAAGAAACTGACACATTTATTTAGTCGTTTAACATGCCACAACCTGGAAGGCATGCAAAAACTTTGCTTGGCACAAACATAAGCGGTTATATGGCCACATATTTCAAGCCTGAGCTTTGCCCTTGGTACAAGTAATGCCTCCAACATACCTGTAAGTGTCGCTTGCAAAACCACCGCACTGACTCCCTCACATGTTACAAACTACACTTGTGAGCATGGATTGCCAGCACATCATGTACTCTGCCACTACTACTTCACAAGCGCCACAAATTTCACAGCACGCACATTGATAGGTGTTGACGGAAGCTAGTGCTATAACCGTGAGAGTCTCACAAAACCTGCAATACTTGTAATGTGCACACGTGACATACAATCATATCATTAGATGCAAGATGACCTAACCACTGCCTGAGTGATCAAATTAGGGGTTAGGTATATAATAGGGGTGGGTACGATTTGCAACTGCTCGCAACACCCAGTTCTTGACATCCCATGCATTAAGATGTAGCACACTTTCAATTGATAACAATATTGCAAACACTGGTGCTGGGAAATTGCCCAAAACAATGACATTAAAACAGGAAGGTACACTGTTACGCAGGGACTTTCTGCAAGAACTGCGGAGAGGCTCACCACTGCTTGCGTCTCCAGCGCCCATTCTTCTTTGACCTGCTGCTCACCGTTGACCTGCACCGTCGAGGAGGCATCGGCGGCGGTATCCTTGTCCACAGGCTCCTGCTTCACCTGGACTTGTGGTGCGCTGTTGTCCCCTTCCTCCATTGTGCCGTCTTCCTCTTCTTCCTGTTCCTCCTTCTTTCACTTCTTCGTCCTGGCATACATAGCAAGGAAAATAAGAAAGCACAGTGCATATTATTAAAACATGCTCACAGTTTGCACAATTTCGAAGTAAACACCAATAAAATAATTAACATCAAGGCTTGGGCTAGTCTGCACTCCTCTGCGAAAATCGTCAAAGGGCCAGTAAACAAATTCGAACTATTTATTTTTTTTACATCTACCAAACAGCCTAAACGACTTATGAACAGCACAGCACCAGGTGTCCTGCAGACACTCCAATTCGAGAAACAATACTAGCATCCCTCACCAGCATCTGCCCAATCCTCCTCTGTGGGGAGCACGTGCACCCAGCCTCCCTTTCCCCTTTCACGGCAGCGGGACAGCCTAGTTGCAGGGACAGCCGAACGCTCTCTCTGACACCGGCCTAGGAAGGAGGAGGTCGAACCCGCAACCCCCTATGAGCAGAGGACGACAACGGCCAAGGACTAAGCGTCTACCTTTGTTTTCTGTAGTATCTCCTCGAGACTTTTACACATTATTGCTAACGTATAGCAATAAGGTGCGCTGTTGACCTAGCCTGTTGCCTTATTCGCCCAAACTCGTGTAGCTGCAATGAGACAACCAATGGATAGGAGACGTTAATTGTGTACGGTACGACTGTGTGCAGCTGGAACATTAGCTAGGCTTCTGCATTAGCCGCACATCTGGCGCCCAACATAACGAATTTGGCAACGCGGCTAGTGTTGTGGACGCGAGCGACTACAGACGCTCCGCCACACGTATGATAACAGGCATGCCGGAATTCCAATATTTGTCAATGTTGTCTGATGTCGCGTCGCAGAGTGGCGATCCTTTCGCTAACGCGGGGACATTGTTAGGACTTTCCGACAGCGTAGATTTTGGTGGTTTCCCGCGGGATGATCAGGAGAGTGCAAAGAGCATGTTAGCAGTGATTAGGCCTACGTCGAAAAGAGTCATGCATGACGCTCCGGCAACTCGCGTCCAGAGAGGCGCCACCACAAGTTGTTTCGACACGCGCCGCAACGGCAGGCGAGTCTGCGGACAACAGTTTGCCCTCGAGCGAGGTACTCTTGTGAAATATCGTGTGAATGCAGTACACACTATTGATTGCCGACAATGGTTATGCCAACTCCACTTTACACTCCCGCAGAACTTCACGTTGTGGGAATTGAGGCTAGCTCGCTGCCATTGCTCGGGCTTTGCCGCCTTTTCTGCCGTTCTCATGTCTCGACATGGCTCCCTTCCTCCACTGTCCGCCCCACTGGGAGAGCGAGGAGTGACGCTTAACCTCTCACACCCGGTAGCAGATGTGGACTGTGGCGCTGCGCGCAAGGTCTCCGGAGAGGTTTCGCGTGCGTGCGTCGGGAGAGAGTGAGATTCTCCGGGTCAGCTTACGGTGAACGCACATTCCCTTTTTTGTCCGCCGACTCCCGTTGTTTGGGGCTCATCGGACTTTGCTGATGGGGCCTCGCGCCCAATGCGAACGATCACTTTTTGTGGCCCCTTTGCGTAGGCTCGACCGAAGGGCGGTATGGCGTCCTAGTGCGTGGCCAAGCTAAGCCGACCCGCCTCTCCCTCCGGAGCCAACGTGAGCGCCTTTGCCCTCGCTCGAGCAACCGGGCCTTGGTCCCGGTATATCCGTGAATCACTTTTACCACGGAGACGTGCTCGTGGCACCCTGTGAAGTACTTTTCGCCCGTGGCGTGGATAAGCCCATTTGCTTCCCCGCCGCACCTTTGCAACGGGTTGTACTGCATTTTTGTGTTACTACAGATAATAAAGTGTTGCGACCTTGAGCAGTATCCTGTTCTCGCCACGGCAACGGTTAACGCGTGCCCTGCGGCTCGCTAAGACAGGACCCACGCTAGTGGCCGCACTCCTTCAGGATACGCGTCACTACAACGTATGCGCACACGGCTTATTAGTGTAGTTACCTAACAACTGATCATTCGTTGACTTCGCTATCCAGTGAAAACTACTTCTACGGCTTTCACAGTCGTTCATAAAAATTTTCTGGCGTCAAAGCCCAGCATAGTAAATAACACGTCAGGCTTTCAAACGACATGAAGACGAACCGTATCGACAACGGACACATGTCCTGCCCCTGGTTTTACCGCTGCCCAAATGTAGGCGAGCAGCGGGGAATAGGGGACAAATTCTGCTGTCTCACGCAAAAAAAAAAAAAAAAAAAAAACATTGCCCCCTTCTTTATGAAGTGAAAGAAGACAGCAGCTCAGCGTGAAATGCACAGAAAAACTGGAACAACAGAACCGCTGATTATATTTAAAAAAAAAAAAAAACACCGTAGGATACACAAGACATAAATGCAACGAAAACATGCATGTACCACGCCGCTAGGTTGACCCTAGCACAGCTTTGACACGACAATTGCGTGGGGGAATTACTTGGTCATTGGGTGCGTGCCCATGATAAGCATTGACGTTCCGTCACGTTGCCAATGTGGGCACAGTCATAGCAACGAAAGATCCCCGGGCATATCAACCCTCAAATATGCACCGCCGAGGCTGTGCCTTCAGTTTTCGTACTCCCATTTAACAGCCAAGAAATTGGATAGTTCTTTAGTGAATTGCCCTTTAAAGGGGTTCTGCATCACTTTTTAAGCTCAGTCACGAAATGCTGCCTATCGGTGGTAAAGGCGCCAGAGCATATGTCGGCCACATGGGACAGTCCGAAACTTACAACTGGTTCTCAAAGTCTACTAGAAATTTCTCCGTCTGCTCTTTACAAATAATGCCAGAAAGCCAAAGTGAACAGACATTGGCTGATTCGAGGACTGTGCGCTGCCTACATGCTGTGGTGGTTGACATGTGTTCATGAATGCGCTTGCAAACAAACTAGATTAAATTTGCACCGTAAAATGGAACCAGGTTGTTGCCTTTGTCAACCCCCTTCCCCCCCCATGACTCAACACGCTAACTAATAGGAAAGAAAAGAGAAAGCCCCTAAAGTGTGTATCAAAAATTCCTGCGACTCAGCTTGCATTTGATAACCGAAGCATTAAATATCTGTGATGACGTCACTCAGTCCCTTATTTGGAAAGTCTTGCAGGACCCGTGAAACCATGAAATTTCCAAGAGCCGAAGGCGTGTCCCGGCTTACCTGCTTAGACGAGTCGTCGTCCGGATTGCAGCTATCGTCGCCGCTGCCACCAAGGTTGGTGGCCGAACTCTGCGACTCGTCCCCTTCGTCGACACTCTTTAAGGCAGCACCTGGCAATGAGAAATCACGGGAGGTCAATTTTTTTATTCGTACAAAGTGACCAGAGACGCAAGCAACGCCTCTCCCTCGAAAAAGGCTTCTCACAAGGCAGGGTACAGCTAACAGTGCATGCACAGTGGTGAAACCTACACAAAAAGTCGCCCCGCGCCTGACCAGATGGATCAACGAGCTAAATATCCATCTGGATACGAGTGTTGCAGTTTGCATTCTCTTTAATGGCTTAGACTAATGCCACATTCCACGCACTGGCGATGTATAATGATTGATATGTGGGGTTTAACATTCCAAACCACCATGATTACGAGAGACGCCTGTAGTGGAGGGCTTCAAAATATCGTCCTTCTGGTATTCTTTAATGTACACCCAAATCTGAGCACACGGGCCTACAAAATTTACGCCTCCATCGAAAACGCAGCTACCCCAGCCGGGATTTGATCTCGCGAACCTGCGGGTCAGCAGTCGAGTACCTTAGCCACTAGACCACCCCGGCGGGGCGCTGTATATTGCAATGTAGCACTTATGACAGTAATAACCAGCTGGAGGCAGCACAAACTATCTTTCTCCACCATCGAGCGTGGAAGCTGGACTAAGCTAGAAAGTGTGGAAAGTCAAACCCGCACTATCAAACTGAAACAACATGGCACTGCCCTGAAGTTTGCGTCGATGTCTCGTCAGCGTGCCCCAGAGATGCCCTTTCCTTGATGCACAATTATCACGAAGATATAAACACTCACTGCTTGACATGAGCTTACATAACTCATTGAGAGGCCTTGTGCACAAATTTATTGGTTTTTTTTGCCAATTGTGCTAACACTAGGCCAGATACACAAATGGTCAGATTAATTGAATCTCCTGCATAATAAATGCATCATTCAACTACATTTTGCCGAGTACTGTTTATTGCGATCCCTGACCACACAGCGCCACCATACTCGATGAGTTGTCTGATGTGCCACTAGCCCCGTCAAAGGTATATTTCCCCATGAACAAAAGTGAACCAAAACTAAGTCTGCATCATATCTCCAGCACGAAATCTGATTCTATTTACGAAAGGAATGAAAAGGAGTAACTCCAAACCAGATATGTCCATACAAGTTAAGAGATATCCTATTACAAGTTACTATTCATGATAGAACACACGAATGACTTATTGTGACACACTGTTGCAGAAATACCTAGTTCCCTGAAAGTAACGTGCATTTTTGACATATTTAAAGACGAGTTCTTCACAGGTGGCGTCTCAAAGCCAAGTCCCTGGTTCAAGACAAGCAGTTGCAGGCGCAAATCAAAATCAAAGCTGACGTTGCTATCGTTAAAAAAGCGATCTTACAATATCACTTCTCAAACTACAACCGCCGATGCGCCGGGCTGGTCCGAAACACAGGTAGGAACACGTGCGTAGCGTTTACCTGAGAACGTTCACGATCCGCTAGAAACGACAGCCCGTAATCTACACCCCGTAATCACAACTATCACTGTTCAGAAGTGATGGCGGACCAGCTCTCAACAGTTATTTCACTTTGCAAACGCGTCAATTAGTGATCAAGGGCACAGCAAGCGGCATTAGCTAGAACGAACGGATGGGAAAGTTTTTTTCTTTTTTTTTTCCAGCGCCAGAACCTCCACTTTCGGTGTTACGCGAAGCGTCGCAAAACGAACACGTCTACAACAGTGGGCAGCCGCGCTTTTAGTTAATTTTTTTTTTCTAGAAGCGTCGCCGGTGTTCCCAAAGGCCGGCCAAAAAATGGCGGATAGCATAAGCCTCCCCCCCCCATGTTCCCGATACAAAAACGCCGGGCCGCAACTGCAAACCCACTCGCGACACACCGTGATCAGCAAAAAACCCACCACAAGGCTTACACGAAATCGAAGTCGCCACGCTAGCGGAGTTCCCCGAAAATTCTCGATCAAACGCGAAGCCGGCATTATAAAAAAAACCTACAAAAGCTACGTAGCAAAAAAAATTAAAAAAGAAAACGTGGCGCGACACCTACAATCGGAGATTTCGCCGGCAGATTTGTTCGTCTAAAACACAACTCAAATCGGGATTACGTCTGTTCCACGGCCGGTACGGCTCCCGAGACGAGCAATCCTAAGGATTCAAGTAACGCAGCGCGCGACCGGGGCACGCAAGCACACGCAAACGAAAGGCTTCACAGGACGCCATGCGTAATCAATCCTCTCTCGACAGCCCTCTACCGAAAGGAGGTGGCTCGGAAATTCCGATACTCACGATGTTGTAGGGAGTTTCGGGTGAAACTTGAAACTGCGCGATCGGCGAACACAATGAGGTAATCGTGGCTCAAGTATCGAACGTAATATATAAAAAAAAGCGGAGCCACTCTCAACAGAACTGCGGTACGCGCTGCCGAGGTAGAGGCTGACGGTGCCTAGCCACAATCCAGCCGGTAGTCGGTATGGCGCACGCGCAAGCACGCGCGGCACTTTACTGACTTCGGAACTTTTTTTTTTTCTTTTTAGTCCGAGTGGCTTACACACCGACACGCGAGGGCCAAAGTGACGAAGGTTACGATGAAGTTTTTCTGCCGAAGAGCTGACGATATTGCAAAATCAGCATCTGCACTCGCGCAACCGGCATGCGTGGAAGGCAGGGCGCGCGACGGCAGAGCCAACTTCCACACTCGAACATCTTTAGTAAATAGCAGCTGCGAGCAACACTGGTGCGCACGACACGAAAACTGATCACCGTGCGTCTCAACGAAACGAGGCCGTTCCACGGCGAGAAAACGTTCACAAACGAGCCGGGGTTAGAGGACTAGCGCAGTCGCCAGTTCCGCGCCCGGCTGTTGCAACCCCGCGGCTAAGCAGCTAAGCCTAACGGCGCTCAGTCGCCGAAAGCCGGCGCCGCTTCGGTATGAATGAGCGGCGTACGCGGGGGCGGCACAGAGTGCCGGGACCAAGTTCTTCGGCGTGTTCCCGACGGCCGTACTCACCCGAATTGGCCCCGGACTCACCCGAGTCGATGGCATCCTGCAGTCGTTTGACGAGCACCGCTTTGTTGCCCTTTGTATCTAGGCCTCGCGCTTGCAGTTCGGCCTTCAGCTCTACCACCTTGAGTTTGCCGATATCCACATCACTCATCGTCGGCGCTCACACTGTCGGGACGCCCACGAGAGGAACAGGCACGCCGTCGCTCTGCGAGCAATGGCCGTATTTTTTGTTGTGTCGCGTTAGCCGCTTCTTGTTTACCTAAAGGCGCCCCCACCAGAGATACATACACACACTTAACCACACGTCTTTTTTCGGGTGATACAAAATGGTGGTCAGAGAAGGGGGACCTTCGCGATTGCGCCGCGAGTTTTTGAAACAGTGCCACCGATTGGCCGCTGTGAGCGCGCCAACCAGCATCCAGCCAATAAGCATGCGTCTCTCAACGTAGCAGCGTAGACGCTTCCTTTTCTGCTACGCAAGTTTTCTTCCATAGCGGCCATAGGTGGCGCTTGCAATGAGCTACTTTTGAAATATTTTTAACAGCACATTTTTTTATTTTAGGTTTGTAATTCAAATAACTACTTGTGGTAAACCTTCGTACTTACCACTGAGTGACCACACCAAGACAGATACATTGCTCAGTTTATAAAACATTTTTCTTGCGACACAAACATGAGAACTGCCTAAAATTCTTCGTAAGGCACCTTCTGTATGTAAAAAAAAAAAAAGCACACACATTTGAATATATATGTGTCTGTGTAAGTGTATAATGCTAAACAACATCACATCGACCATTTTACAAATTAGAAAACTTGGGTGGTTCTTTTTCCTTCGCCATCAATGCCATGGCAGACTTCATTAGGTCCTCAGATTGCAGCATACACATGTTCCAGCAAGCCTGAAAAAAAGAAAAAAAGAAGAATGTGTGCCTGTACAACATTATTGGGGAAAAAAAAATTAAAGGGATGTCAGATGCAAGCATAGGGCTTGGCATCAGCAGAAGTTGCAAGAAACAGACAACCCAAAAGGGTTACATAGGCATGTTTCACTATAATATCAGTGTAATATGGTGCATTGCTGACAGTGTGGTTAAGCCGAATTGTCATCAAATTGCTGAAAAGTGACTTGGCACCCTTCTGCAACCTGCATAAGGAAGCCAAGCACAGTTAAAGAATTTTCATCTGGATCAGGCCCGAACGTGATCAAAGTGCACATTTGACATGGCAGCGTATGGTCAGAACTGAATGCTCAATTATCAACTACTAATATACGTAATAGGGCGCACTTGGGAGTGTATTTTGTTCCTAGGTTATTTTACAAAGCAACAATCATTAGACAAGCACGCTGACAGCACTTTAAAGGGACCGACAACTGCCCAGAACACGAAATGAGGCGACTGCATGGATGGAAAGATTGTCCCTCTTAGTGACTCAAACCAACTCTGTTTTTCTTATAAGAAGTGGAGTTATATTTTTATGTCTTCATTGAAAATCGCAAAAAAATGGCCTGTGGCACCATTTGGTGGCAGAAACTTCAATTACTTCGATGTACCCTGACACGTGACCGCAGACTAGTGTGTGCGGTAAAAAATTTGCTTGTTAGTACTGAAATATTGTTGGCTTCTTAATAGTAAAAGACACTACTCTGAAGAATGTACATATAGGCCTGCGTTGTACGCATTAAAGTGGTGCTGCCTTCACGTGACGTAATGACCCCATGCTCACCAGCGCGTCTTGAGCAACTCTTCTGCGTGCTCATGAAACCATGCACGCAGTTTTCAGGTTGGTAAGATTTTGGATTTCTACCTACACTTTGTCTTAGAAATGAAGTGCACTGCTACTCAGCACAGCCACGCATATGTGCAGTGATGTTCTCGATGACTAGGTTTGGCTCGCGTATCGAGACAGTAACGACAACGGGACAAGCCAACCACGACGCAGGCGCTACAAACTTGGGTGCAGGCGCACGCAATGCTGTACAAACAAAAGGAAGCTGTATAAAGCCGCATCGTTTCATTGTAACGTCTCATTCCTTTAAAAAACAGTCGTAAAGCTCAGAATAAACGTGGTGAAGTACAGTTACAGGAACTCCTGCGAAAGCAGAACAACAACAGCATGTACAAGTCACTAGAGGGGCTAACAGCATGGCTGAAATTCTGAGCATTTCTGGACAAAAAAAGACAGTGTTCAGAGCCTTTGAGATAGAAAAATACTGCTTAGAAAGTAACTATCTGTTTCTGGGATTAACTATTGCAGCTACATAAACTACGAAGGGTAAGCTTTCTGTCGCACCAAAAAAAAAAAAAAACTGGGTAAAAAAAAATCAGTTGCCAGGTCCTCTTTAAAATGATTTGGCTAATTTTCTGAAAGTAGAATTTTTTTTTTCTGCAAACATGGACATCATGCAAGCAACATGCCACATTATAGATCAAAGTGTAAAAATTCAGGCTACAGTTTCTCACACTAAGTTTTTTTCCTTCCATGGCTTTCTTATTTACAAGAAATCGTGCATAAAAACACCATGTACTGCAATGTGCTCACTGCCAATATAAGTTTGACAAAGAAGGTGAAAGAAATTGCATCAGTAAATGCAACACGTAAAATTAGTGTGATGCAAGGGCAGTAATCACTTACGGTCAAATAGCACATAGACCTTCACACATAACATGGCGCTTTCAAAAAAGCCCCATGTTATGACAATCTAGATAACCAAGTAAGAATCATAGCACAGACTCTGCTGCTGCTGTTATATCAACCTATGACCTCTCAAAGGGCCCAACTTGTAACATACCACATTACAGATGGTCAATTATCACAAAAGTGAGATAAACCATTAATGGCCAGATGAATGACTACCTCTGGTGCTTAGCATCAGGTAAAAGATGAGCCCAGCACGGGGAGCATAAAATGCCCCTGTCGGTGTTGGACACAACTTTAGTCGAAACAAGCTAGCAGTTTAGCCAGGTTTCACGAACGCAGCAGAAGAAGCTAATATGCAGATAGTGTCTACTCCTTTAAATTGAGACACTCGTCATGATCGAGTGTCAACAAATACATCAACTTTATGTGACTTGACACCACAGGTTCTAATGACCAAATTTTCGAGCGAGTGGGTGTGTTAAGATAATTTACAGTATCGCTTACAGCAATTAACTTGTAATGAAAATTAAATAATTATGCACTTATTGTACAATCAGTCATGGCATAATTGTTTAATAAACCAAAATGAAGTGAACCATTTAAATTACATGCAATAGTTATGTGCTGACCGCACACATTCCTAAAGAGGCTTTTTTTTTTCTGATTCTTGTTGAAACAGTTTACGTCCAATGCCTCGTTAAACACACTACCGTCTTCACCAAAGTGATTGCGTGTATTATAATGTCCAACCAGATATAATATAAAAGCTTTTTTTTTGCATCAAGATGGTTAATTTACCATTAAGCCAGTATTTGCGGTTCTCTTGTGGCCAATAGTGCACAGAAATGGCCAAAGCAAGTTGGGTTGACAAACGGGGATGCTTGATTGGAGAGTTACACAAGCAAGCGCTTTTGTATGACCCTTTCAGTGCATGCACGTCTTACACAAAAGCCCACAGAGTACAAAAAGCGGCAGCAAGATACCATGTAGCGAAGGCCCTCGTTGACGCCGTGGTCCCTGGAGTAGACGAGGTGCACCTTGCTGCCCTGCACAGCTACTGGACTCTTGGAAGCGATCTGCTTGGCCAAATCCAGAGCCGCAGCCATCATCTGGGCCTTGTCCGGAAACACTCGGCTCACCAAACCTGCCTGGAACAGATGCAGTTTCATGATAGAACGAACTGATCAAATCACAGGCAATTCCTTGGAGAGGCCAGATTGGCAGGTATTTTGCCACAGAAGGCCATGTTTTGGTCCGGATGTCAATCTCATCGCCATACGAGATACTCATCCGAATATGTAGAAACGGCCATATTTGGCAAAATGCCCACCAGTGTGGCCTCTCCAAGGTGTTGCCTGTGGCTTTATCACTTCAACCAAATAATGCAATAAAGCGATGACTAAGCACAGCTGGTTCACATAAAAGTTCTTGATTATGACACTGCTGATTGAAAGTTTAGGTCAAGTCCCGATGTTCTTTGAATCGGCACACAATCGAAAACTGAAACGGCGCAAGCAAAAAAGAAATAAAAAATTTGGCAGTATTCACATAATAACAGCGCCAATAACGACGGACAAGAAAAGAAGGAGACAGACAGCGGCACTGCAATGTGTCTCCTTTTTTTTTTCTTGTCCCTCGTTATTGGTGCTGTTTTTATGTAAATAATGTCGTACCAACTCGCCCAAGCAACAACATTAGCTAAATTTGGAAGCCCATGCACTCCCCGATGCTTCAATGAAAAAGTGCATGCCCCCCCCCCCCCCTCCCCCCCAAAAAAAAGCACTTTTTATAGGCACATTATGTCCCATGACAGTAACACCTTTTGATGTTTGGTATGCTTCACTGCATAACGTTTTTTCATTGTGGCAGAGCTGATCCATGTTTTCCCCCTTTTCCATGAGGTGGCTGTAAAGCTTTTGTTGCAGTTTCATACAACATATGCACAAGAGCATACCTTTCGTAGGCTTGCATTTGCATAGCTAGAAAGGACAAACATAACTAGAAATGGGTCGATTGTGACGGCAGACAGCACAATTCATTGCTAAGCTGTTAAAATGGAAGTGTTGTGGTGCTTTCATTTAACCAGCTTCGGCCAGGTACAAATGAAAGGCACCTATTTGATGCAGCATGTTATGACCCCCCCCCCCTTCTTTTTCTCTATTGGTGGGAAACACTGGTTAACACACGCAGAATTTCTTCTCAAAGACATTCTGTGTATCCATGACAATAAGAAATCTTCCCTATGGGAGTCAATTACGCCTTTGAAACATCACCAAAACTTGACCCCCAATATGGGGTCGAAAAATCATTGAAGCACGACTTCAACAATATCAGAGAGCTAAAAATAATTTTTGAAGAGTCAGCATGCAAACATCGGCTTAAGTGTTAAAATCAAAGCAATGTTAGACCTTGGCTTCTATAACATAGTCAAGAGCCGAGTGCCTCTTTTCATGCACAGTAAGAAAAGAAAGGACTATATGAAGAGTCTTTTTATTGCACAAAAACCTTGCGTTATCGCAGAGCACACCATAGGCAGAGAGTTTTCATATTCCCGGAGGAAGCGGGGTGCCTGACTTGCTCTTTCACATTCCGTAAGTGTGTGTGTGTGCGTCTGGAGAGAGGGAAAGACATCGCAAGTATTGAGACAATAAATAGATGCCTTGCCAGTTGCATAAAATAAACTTTCATCTTCTTGATGCATACATCCTGTACTTATTTTGCACAAGAGCAGTGCGAATGCCGCAATTTTCGTCATCCTGTGACCTCGTTCTCAATGCAACTTATGGCAATAGACTCCCCTACTTGTAACTGCCCCATGAGCCAAATTTTAAAATCCTTAAAGAAAAAGGAGCGGCCATAAGGACTGCTCTGTGAAATAGCTGCAACAAAGGGTGAAGAACAGTCTGTTGGCAATGAACGAGAGCCTAAGCCAAGCTCTCATAAAATATCCCTAACCCTGGGCAAACACCATGGGGTGGTCTGCCCACCAGCCCCTCCGTACTCTGCACCTATGGAGCACACAGAAAGGGAGCACACAGTCACAAGTAGGGTGCACACGTAATATCAGCGCAACATAAAATTCTCAGCTAGAAAGTAGTGAGCACACAGTCTTCAAGAAAGGGAAACAAGCACAGCCAGATGACGATTACTGTTGCCTGCAAGAAAACACCCCAAGTACACCTACTTCACAGCGAGACAAAAAAAATGCCCCAATGGGCGAAACTGTTTTTCAACTGTAATGCAACAGAACCCTTTAGAGCTTCCCCAGGAAACTACACTGCCTGGACAGACAATACAGAAGATCGAGGAATGGGCTAGCAGTGCAGGTGAGGACACCGACCTGGTGAGCCTCCGCGGCTTGCATCTTTCGAGCCGTGAAGACGAGCTCGTTGACAAGGCTGGCACTGCCAATGACCCGCGGAAGCCTCTGCAGCGTGCCGACGTCTGCAGCCAAGCCAAGGTCAACTTCCTGCAGAGACATGTTCCGGTACAGAGTTTCTTACACTAGAGAGAACTGTGCTGCTGTAAACACTCAGCCACCATGGGAATGATACAGCCTATTTAAATCAACAGATGATGCAGCTAACTTATTATGATTTAAGTGCAAAAGGATTAAAGTCAACAAAAAAAATGGCAAATCCACAAAGTGAATGATGACGAGTGGCAGAAGCAGTGGGATCGTTTGACGTTACTGTAAATGCGTCAAGTTGTGAATTTCGTTTTGCCTTCATGATTACTGCTTCGTGGTACCGTATCTAGCCTGAAGCTGGCAAGGACGAGGACGTTCCCCTGGTGGTTGTTTCCAGTCATAGGAAATGCACCGTAGAGCATACCGAGACGTCATATACTGCACAAGCCCGTTGTTGTTCGCGATCATCATGAGCGTCATTGTCATGACATATAGTGGGTACCTTGCATGCGCTGTGCCGTGATGGCAGACGTGTGATCTGGAACTCACTTGTGCTTCATCGTCATCAGCATCATCATCATGGTTAGTGGCAGCTACAGCACACAACGCCAACAGACACGCCTCGACCTTAAGGGGTCACTAAAGGCTAATATGTATTAATCTGATGTTGAAATAGCGGTTCAGAAACCTTGTAGTGCTACTTTTCCGCCACAAGGAAGGGCTTATTTTGAAATAAAATCATGTTTCACTGGTCCGCATTGCGTTGGTGCATTTCCAATCCCCAGCCTAAAAGTTGTCTTTCCGACCCCACTGTTGCCGTAACTGACGCTGCCAGCCTTTACTGTGCAATTGCCGGCACTAGCAGCGGCAGAGCAAAAGTAGTGGGCGCCGCAGCACCAACAACGGCCATTGAACAATTTCCTGCTTGCTTGGTTCAACTGCGCCCCTCTAGATGGCATTAACTATCCAGCCTAGCCAGATGAAAACAGAACTTTTGAAACCACTTGCGCCCTTCCCTGTAGTAACGTCAGGCAGATCTTTCTTTCCATAAATCAAAGCAGCATTTTATTACATCGCTTGATGCACGTAAGTCGGTTTTTTTCATTGCAGGTAGTTTGATTACTAGTGAATAATTGTAGTCGGGCGCTATCACGTCAGCGGGATCAGTTCCAAAATGTCGCACACGTACCGCACGTCTTGCGATACATTTAGCTTAATTTCTCAGTAAGTGGGGCACCACTGTTGATAATATTACCGTTCTAGATATTGTCATCATGTGAGCTTTATCTCTGACAAATTTTTATTTGCTTTTATATCCCTTTGAGAAGCTTCGCCCCTACAATCAACTTGCCCCAGGCAGGGGCCCAACCTACAACCTTTAGATAAAGCAACCAATGCTCTACTCATTAGGCTACAGCAGTGGTTGCTTTCTCATCCACTTTAATGAGTGTGGTGCTGGCTAACATTCCCCTGATTACACAGACGTGAATACCTAATATAGTGGACGAGATAATGATCACCGTTGTAGCTCAACATAGAGAAGTGCAATTGTCTGCAAAGGAACACAAAGGAATGAAAGGTGTGTAAGCATAGCACAAAGTCCCAATTTCAGTTCTCAGCTTCTGTGCCCACGGCTGGTATGATCATAATCAATTCATATTACCTATTGTGGTTACTGCATAGACAGTTTACTGTATGTGTAGCTTACTTCACAACAGCCATTTTCGTTAATCATCACAGAATAAAAATTTAGAAGCGTACTCATTAGACAGTGACGAAATGTACCTTGACTTGAAAATAGGCGTCGCTGGTGCAGTAGCGGATGTCACAGGCTGTGATCATGTCGACCCCTCCACCGATGCAAGCGTTATGGACGGCTGCAATCACGGGCTTCGTACACTGAAACATCGCAAAGAAATGTGTGCAGATAAGAGAACGATAACAAATATTTTAAAAAAAGGGGGCATAAAAATGTAGGCAATGCAAAATGCTAGATATCAAATGAAGCAATGCAATTTTGACACAACTACACTCAGAAATATCGACAGATCTCAGTCAACAAATGCTCATGAATAACGCTGCATTATATCTCCCCCCTTTACTGCACCTCGTGTCATATTCAAACAACCTGCTACATGGCACAGTAACATAACCTGACATAAAATAAACTGGTGCAGCTTGCACAAATGACGCTAGACTGGAGCAAACAATACAGCCAGATGGCCTCTCTTTTTTTCCCTTAATTTCTTACTTTTTTTTACTTTTCTTTGCCTATGCAACTTTGCATTTCTATTTCTTTCTTCCCTCCTTTCTCTTTCTTCCTTCCTTCTTCTACATATCTACTTTTTCCTTTTTCTCTCTTTCTCTCTCTCGTTACGCTGGTTTGTCTGGCGTGGGTTGCGATTTCTTGGATGGGTGTGGGAGAATGAGTGCAGAGAGAGTGGAAGAAACGGAAGAAAGCAAAAGAGATAGAAAGAAACTGACACAAAAATTGTATAGAAACGATGGACATCAAGGAAGGAAGAGAAAAAAAACAAAGAAAGAGAAGGTAGTATATATATACTACCTTCTCTTTCTTTGTTTTCTCTCTTTCTATCTCTTTTGCTTTTTTCCGTTTCTTCCACTCTCTCTGCACTCATTCTCCCACATCCATCCAAGAAATCACAACCCACGCCAGACAAACCAGCATAACGAGAGAGTTCTCGTCACTCATATGCATTCAGGAAGTGCAGCAGAAAAAAAAATAAAGAGAGCTATGATAGTTCTATGATGACGATGATGATAGTTCTCGCGACCACTCCACAAGGATTTGCCGAACAACAGCTCTGGTGGTGAAAGTGCAGTTACGTTGTATCTAATTATACACATTGTGTTGACATCACAACATCTCCACCGGACAGATATTGAACCATGAAATGCTGGCAACGCACAGAGACGAATACAAAGACGTCCATTCTTACTGCACACTGGTGAAAAACTCTCTCCTGGACTGTTGTGCATGACTGCAATGCAGTCATGCAGTGCAGCATGCATGCAATGCGGGTACAATGCATTGAGATTGCAACTATAAGACAGCAAGAATGCCCCAGGTGTCATCTGATCCCAGTAGGCATTCTGATACGATGCCTGAGGCATTCTCGCTGAGAAGGGTCTTTTAGTTGAAAATGACTTCTGCAGAATCCTCCTTGGTGGCGGAGGGGATGTGAAAAAGATGACTGATAACCATCCATTAGTAGCATGAAGCCACAAAGTAATCAACGACACCACCCCGAATGACAACTGTTCTAAATAGACGACTCAAGGCTATGAAAGCTGAACAAACCTTTTCTATAGACGTGAAGGTCTCCTGATACTTGATGATCAGGCCATGGAGGTGGCGCGCCTTCCTGGCCACATCGGGCTCCTCGTCACCAGATGACTGCGTCCCAAGACTTCCTGCCATGCTAGCCAGGTCCAGACCTGCGCAAGTGGGGTGGCTTATCCCTTTGCGATACAGCGCTTCGATTTGGAGACGCAACTTTTGCCATTTATGTGCACTAGTGGAAAGGAAGAGACTACAAACACCAAGCCGATCATAATTGGTGTTACCTAATGTTTCTCTGTATCACTTTTGGAATGTGTTGCTACACATGATTGCTTTTTTGAAGGCAGTACCGTGTTCAGCAAGACGCAAGAAGTGAGTAATTTTAAGAAGGGACTTCAAATGTTTTTTTTTTACCTTTCAAGAGAAATGCTCAAGGCCAGTAAGTAACTTTTATGTAATTTGAGCACGTTTTTGAATTCGGTTTATGGAAAAGCATTGTGGGACTGAGTGCACAATAGATAATTATTTCTGTAAAACAGACCATAATTCTTTGTGTCCGTCGTGTCGTTTTTGCACTACATTATGAACTTCATCCGGCACCAGGAACAAGTCCTTCTGCAGGCCATAATTTAATCAATCAGTACCACTTGATTTATGTTTGTTCTCCAAATCCACGCCATAAAATTGCGTAAATTTCATGAATTTATAGGCAGTTGCTCACAATGCATGTCACAAAAGATTATGTATTGTATGCAGCCACCAAAGGGAAACTCTTAACATCCAGTACAGATGCTAGCAACAGCAGCTACGATAGCTATGTCCAAGAGTGACCCCTGTCCAGTTGAAGTGACAACGATGTAACGACGGCATGTCACACATCTTTTTTTCCTGCCCCTGAAACATAATTACAAACATCATAATGATATCCATTGGCCAGAACATGATATGAAAAATGATAGAGGTATGTCACATTACACAGCTGAGATGCTGAATAAAATCACTTGTGATTCAAGAATCCCGATTCATTCGATCTTGCCCCTATCATGAAGGCTAAACTCGAGCTGCTGGTACTGCTGAACCCTGGCAATGCAAAAGCACAAATCCAAACACTAACCAATGCCTTCTTTGTGTACGTAGATTCAGTTTATGCTCTATTAACACGACGTGATTGCGAACCAATCAGTCACGTGGGCAGGTGACGTGCTTCTGATCCCTCCGCAGCCAGCATTCACACGACAGGTAAGAATTCACACTGCTAGTGAGGATTTCAGAAGAGTTCCTCGGCGATCACAACTGCGATTTGGGCCTCCATCGTTTCACGAACAGCTCCGTGCGGACCGAAGTGGAGACGCGGGAACAGCTGACGTATGGTGACGGAGTACACCATCCGCAGGCTCAAATCACGATTTCGTCAGTCGTATGAATACAGCTTTACAGCCACCGAAGTCACAACATAAAAACATCTGTGCACCAAAGATAACCAAGTGATTCCTATCTTGCACTGCCCAGGCATAGCAACAGTTAGGAAGAAAACATGATTCCACCGCACACTTACCAGCCGTGAAGATTCGTCCAGAACCGCTGACAACGACGACACGACACTCTCGGTCATTCTGCAGCTGCTGAAAACATGCTGGAAGTTCCCTGCAAACAAATGTCGATAGTGGGGAGGAATAACTCGGAAAATTCCTTCTGAACCCCCTGCAACTGTGTGCAATGTCTCTACTGAAATGTTTAGTATGTCACACCTATGGCTGCATATGCTGTCTACATAATTGCTAAGCAAATCTTACAGATGTCACAGATTTGCATTTTCTACTGTATTTTCTTGAACGTGAACATCAGCATACGTTTAACCGCATTATTATATTGCCATTAGCAAGTAGTACTGCAAGTCTTGTAAAACTAGGATTGTTCAACATATGCAAAAATGTTTCATTAATCTTAAACAAACAATATGCAATGCCTTGAACCTAAAACGGGTAGCCACTTCATGCAAAGTTTACGGTGACGCCGCACCACATTCTGCTGACGCAATACATAAGGCACCGGTGCGAGAAAAGGGGAACTTGGAATGTCATTGCATTATTCAATGCGCAGCGTCAACTTTTTAGAACTTGAAGGAGGTGATGGTTTCAGTAGCAGCCTGAGCATGGGAGAATCATAGTCTCTTTTTGACTGCCTGTTAGGGTATATAGTAGCGCAGGACACACCACAAACATACAGTGGCTTCATTCAAAGGCCTAATACGACAACTTGCTGAACATTTTTAACGAATGATTTTCGGAAAGACCAAACAACTTGTGACCGTATAGTTCCGCATAGATCACTAGTGTGAAGAAGAGAACAGATACCAAAAGATTTCTTGAGACCAATGGATATAAAAAAAATCGCAGGAGTTGCCCTTGTAAGAATGGCACGAAAACACACGAAGTCCTTGCAATGGCATACAGAATGTTTCAGTGTGGTTCGTGGAAGCCAGTAGGAGGAGATGAAAGTATCAAGAATATCAAAGAATAGAGGCATTTTACACTTGTGCACAATTAACGAACGAGTCCTGCAGTTCCACATCTGTCTTACACATAGCCAAAAAAAGTTCGATTTTACCCTGTGCATCCATAATATGACATGTTCAGGAATCTAACCCTAAAGATGACCACGATATACCAGAGAACTAGTGCTGGTTTGCGCATACATGCAATGTGTGCAGTTCCCTCATTTCAGCTAAGGCGCTTTTTAATCCCGAAGCCGTACAAGTGCCACCAAGATGCGCGAATCAAACTTAATTACACACCATACTCTCGAACGCGACAAACATCGTGTACTTACGCCCAGAAGGCTGCGTTCATGGCGTTCAGTTTGTCGGGTCTGTTCATCTCGACCTGAAAGACGTGCTTCGCAGGGCTTGGAGACGAGCAAAGTCTCGTACGAGTAGTTTCCGAGAGTCGCTCATCGTTCTTCGGGAGCCGAAGCTGACGTCCCCAAGACGTCTCCTCGAAGGAAGCAGCAAGACACGACCTGAAAGTAGAAGGCACGAGCGTTCGCCGAATTTAACTACGAATACGCACAGCTGACCGCCCGTGGCTCGATGCGTCAAGGCTGTACTGCGAGTCGGCCGCGCAAGCCGAGAAGGAAAAAAAAAGTAGGCACCGAGGCCAGATCTAGTGCGAGAGAGGAAGTGGTGTAAGAGGAGTTGCGTCTTACCGAGTGACCGGCAGAGTGTCATGTTCGTTGCCGACGATGCGAAGCGTAGCTCTCCGTAGCACGTCTACAGCTACGGCGTCCGGAGGATGGAACGGGACGAGTGTACCGGTAGCGAAAGGCCACGGGTGAACAATCACACCGTACAGAAATGATAACAGATGCGAGATCGAGGGGCAACAAACTGCACAGTGTGGAAAGAGCAGCGATGTACCAACGTACTGCTACGGTACATGTTCAACCCTCCAAGGCCGGCTTTAGGCAGTTTCGTTTTCCCGAAAATCGTAGAATTTTTTTTTTCTTCTTCTAGCGCTGCACTGCGCGAGAAGTTGCGGCTTATAGGAAAAGTGCGCGTTTTAATGCGACCACGCGCGATTGCGGCTGCGCTCGCGCGAAATCAGCCGGCTGGCCGGCTGCGCACACTATCACACTATCAAGTATCAACGCCTCCTAGGTTTTTTGTGCCTGTCCGATGAGCGCAAAACGCCGGTCATCTATGGTAGCGCTGCTTACGTAGGAGTAAGGTTATAAAGTGGGGAAAACAGGTGTCCAAGCCCACAGAGGTGAAACGGGGACTTAGGCAGGGGTGTCCACTGTCACCCTTGTTATTCATAATGTACCTACAAGGATTAGAGGCCAAATTAGAGGGAAGTGGAGTTGGCTTCAACCTCTCTGATCAGGCACTACCAGCATTAATGTACGTAGATGATATAGTGCTAATGGCTGACAACAAGGTAGATTTGCAGAGATTGATGGACATCTGCGATAATGAGGGAGATAGGTTAGATTTTAGATTCAGTAAGGAAAAATCAGCAGTCATAATTTTTAATGATAACGAAGGTAGTGAGCTTAGAATACAGGAAGTCACGCTAGAGATAACAGATAAATACAAATATCTGGGCGTATGGATAAGCAATGGGACCGAGTACCTAAGGGAACACGAAATATACGTGACGACTAAAGGTAACAGGAATGCAGCAGTGATGAAAAATAGGGTACTGTGGAATTACAATAGGTATGATGTTGTGAGAAGAATATAGAAAGTGGACATGGTTCCTGGGCTGACGTTCGGCAATGCGGTCTTGTGCATGAGATCAGAAGCTCAAGCAAGATTAGAAATTAAGCAGCGTGGAATAGGTAGGCTTGCTTTAGGAGCTCACGGGAATACACCAAATCAGGGAGTACAAGGTGATATGGGATGGACATCATTTGAGAGCAGGGAAGCTAGCAGCAAGATAAAATTTGAGAAGCGATCGATTGAGAGAAATGGGGGAGGAGCGTTGGGCTAAAAAGGTTTTCAGCTACTTTTACATGAAGACTGTCGATACAAAATGGAGGAAGCGAAGCAGGAAATTGACTGATAAATACTTAGAAATCAGCAGGTGGCCAAACCAAAAAGAAATATCGGTTAAGAAGAAAGTCGGTTAAGGAGAAAAAATATCGGTTAAGGAGAATGGGCATGATTAAGAAGTCCGCACTAGAGATCTATCGAACTTTAAAGAAGGAAGACGAGGAGGAGGAATAAATAAGGAAGGAAAGAAGGAAATTGCCAAAGAAAGGATCTATGATAATACTCGAGGTAGTTCTCTACTGTTTGAGGCTAGGACGGGAGTATTGCGAACCAAGACATATCGGGCCAAATACGAAGGGGTAGACACAGTATGCAGTGCGTGTGGAGAGGAAGAAGAAACTGCCGAACACTTGATAATGCTCTGTAAAGGGCTTCACCCTATAGTTCAGGATGATGGCGCAGAGTTTTTCAAAGCACTGGGGTTTAGGGCCAGGGAGGGCAAAATAGACTTTAAGCGGGTAGACTTAACTAGAAGGAGGTTATCTGATTGGTGGCTAAAGTCAAGTCACGAGTGAAAATTAAACCCTTCACTGCAAAGTACCCATCCAACTTTACTATTTAAAGGGGGAAAAAAAAGATAAATCTAGTGGTTAGTTCACTAAGTATTACGGCTAGACGACGTTAGCCGCCGCCTGATCTAAAGGATACAGCCACAATCATCTATCCATTCATCCATCCATAAGGTTTTTTGTACATATCCTCCTTGTTTTGTACTCGGCCTTTAAGATTGCCAATTTTGGCGTATGTTACTAATTTTAGAGGATGCATTGTATTGAAAAAAGTTTGTTGAATGACGGCGTCACTTACGTTTAGTTAATCACTATTACTTTTACGCTATTTAAGAATTTTTTACGTTATTTTTGTTGCATAAAAGCTCCAAAAACGTAAAAACCTATTTAAAGACACCCCTACTTGAGTGGCGCCACCACCGTAGTTCCGACGACCGCCGCTTTTCAAGTGACCGCCGATAATCCGGCAGGCACAAGAGATCTAGGAGTCGTTGACACTATTAGTCACCGCTTTCTGCGCCGACGGTCTGAACTCAATCAGTCCGTGGTGGAAAAGAATCCATGCTTGTTTCGTTGATCGATCGCGTCATAAACAAATAATCTTAATTTTAATAAATATTCGACGTGTAAAAGCTGTTTTATTTACTTGTGGAGTTGTATATAATGTAAAAGCAAAGATAACAAGGTTGAATGTGCAAAAACACTAGGTGACAGAACACGAGATAGCGGTAAGTATTAGTCACGTTGCGTTGATTAGAAATGAAGACAACGGCCGTCGGGAGTAGCTGATGGTTCCGCTATTTCCAATGGTGGGCTTGAAAAACGTCCTTCTCTGCGCGGTCGCCGGTGCGGTGGCCGTGTTCGCGTTGCGCCAGTGGCGAGTGCGAACGTGGGGCCGCTGCCGAAGCAAACGCTCCATGATGGGCAAGACCGTGGTGATCACGGGCGCCAACTCCGGGCTCGGCAGGGCCACGGCCATCGAACTAGCTCGGCGCGGAGCCAGGGTTATTCTCGCCGTTCGCGACATCAGCGGAGGCTTGCTCGCCGCCGCCGACGTGCGACGCGTGTCGAACATCGAGAACGTCGTGGTGCGATACCTGGACCTCTCCTCGTTCAGCTCGATACGCGCTTTCGCCAACGGCGTGCTCAAGTCCGAGATGCACCTGGACGTGCTCATTTGCAACGCGGGAGTCTTCCAGTGCCCGCTGACGCTGACTCGGGACGGCCTCGAGATGCAGATGGGAGTCAACCATCTGGGACACTTTCTCCTAACCAACCTGCTTCTAGATCGGCTCAAGAACTCGCAGCCAAGTCGCATCGTAGTCGTCACGTCGAACCTGTACAAGCGGGCCAAGCTTAAGTCCAACGAACTGCTCATGGACGCGAGCAACTACGACAAACGACTCGCTTACGCCAACAGCAAGCTCGCCAACCTGCTCTTCGTGCGAGAGCTGAGTCGAAGACTTCGCGGATCGGGTGTGAAGGCGTACGCTGCGAGCCCAGGCATGGTCTACACAAACCTTGGTCGCCACACCAGACTACCCTGGTATTTGATGGTTCTATTGCTGCCCTTTGCGCTGTTCGCGGTCCGAACTCCGGACCAAGGATGCCAAAGCATCGTTGACTGTGCCGTCAACGAGGAGTACGAACAGCACTCGGGCAAGTTTTACTACAACTGCCGGCCCGAGAAATTGGAGAGCGTAGCGTTGGACGACGACCTAGCGCGCAAGGTTTGGGCCGAAAGCGAGAAGCTGACGGGTGTGATGTCGGTGGACGTTAGAGGCTGAGCCCGGACGTGTTCGATTGATTTCGTCGAGTTTGCTAGTGTTTCAAACTCTTCGTCGTAGCACCCGTGATCAAATTCGTTACGAAGGCCTGCGCAATATTCGGACGTGCCTTCTTAATTCGCGGCAGCTAGTTCCACCATGCAGTAACTTATTCCTATTGTGTGTTTGTGACCTAGCCTTCCGATCAATTCGACGGAAAAGGCCTGTGTATTCATCTTCTGCGTCTTTACTACGTGCGTGCGTAAAATAAACGTGACCTCCCCCGCATCCACCGTGTGTCGTCTGCTATTTTTGTTGTTTGGCGTGGAAGCAGTGGGTTTCGCTTTTTGGCACGACGCCGCTCCTGTTGACAAAACAAATCCTCGTAGCGCGAAATGTTACCAGAACCGGAAGTCACTAAACTACGTTAAAAAAAAACGAGCAGGTGGAAAAACAGTATGACCTAACCCGTTGATTTAAGTGGTACAAAGTTGTAAAAACTAGTGGAAAAATAATTTGTCGTTATTCTACTACAAATAAAGCGCTGCGCACTCAAGCAAGTATACGAAACTGAGGCTTACACACGACGGTGCGGCCGAATTTGCTTTGAGTTGGAATTAAAATCCCCTTGCTTGTGACGAGCGAGAGCGAGTGTCTTGGAAGGAGTTCGAAAAAGAAAAATTTTTGTCACATGCCGTACTGAAGATCCGCGGTCGTGAAGCATGGCCAACAAAAAGAAGAAATACAACGCCAGGTTCCCGCCCGTAAGCCAGCGCTTTCTTATTTGACAATCGCTGACGCGTTTTTTTTTTTATTGCTTTCTCGAAGGCGCGCATTGAATGGGTCCCAACGTTGACCCAGCTATCGGCCTCGATGTAAACGAGCCCCGAAGCAGTATTGCCGGGTGGCCCGCCTCAAAGCGCGGCAGATGTCCCCTCGTTTACTCCTCGTCCGTCATGTGCGTCCCCGTGAAATTGTGAGCCGCCTTGGAACCGCGATTCGATGTTGGTACAAAGAGCCAGCGCGCCTTCGGTGCACCCGGCAATCGCTGCAATATGGTTATAGGGACCGCGGAGCGAAAACGATCGTACGTAAAACTGGCGCGACGTAGCTGGTGGTACGAAGAGCTCGCTTCCTTTGTGACATGCTCCACTTTTGTCTCGTTTCGCTAACTTAGTACGTTCCTGTATATTACCCCCGCATTCGGCCTGCTCCCCCGTTCGAAAAGGGGCCACGGTGGTTGTACGGCTCGCGTAAGACGTCGAGGGAATCGCTGACCCCCACGACGTTGTGTGCGTCGGCTTGCGAGCGAGCTAGCTAGCCCCCCCGAACTACCACGTCCCCGGAAATCGGAACAAGAATAAGCGAGAAACTCCGCGGCGATCTCTTTGAAAAGGAAGCGATCCGCCTGTGCGGTGCGGATTGTTTCTCAATCGTCGTGAACCAACAACGTGCTCGCACTCGAAGCTTATGTTTCGCCGGCTGCGTCTTCGCTCGAAGTACGCGATTTGTTTTTTTTTTCTTTCTTTGACCGTTCTCACGCGCTTTTACGTCCTCCCCACCACCCTCGTAAAAAATCCTTCTTTTGCGCGAGAAACATTTTCATTCCTCGTTGTTTCTCGATTCAACTTTCCGCTCGTTTTTTTTTTTTGTTCGCTCGCCTTGTCATATTGTTGGCGCCCACGCTACCGCCCTTTTTCTTTGTTTATGTCTGCGCGTAGGGATTTGTTTAGCGCTCGTGAGCGCACCGCCGAATCGTCGCAGTGAATAGGAAGTTATTCATCACGCTTGTTTGTCGAACCGAAAAGATCGAAGGAAACCGGAAATAGTCGATAAGGTTACCTAGAGCGTAGTTGAGTGCCGCGCACGGTCCATGCTATTCGATGGTGGCTTACATTTGGTATTTTTCATCATGTGCCTATGGATGAAGCTTTTTTTGTGTGTGTAGGTTCTCTTTCTTGCACCAGCCAAAGTAGTATATATTCTTGAAAGCTCTTGAAACACAAGGACACAGCGAGGCACACGTAAACCACAAACTGTAAGCGCTTTAGCGACGCAAGATTGTAAGAGTGCCCTGCGTACATGCGAGCATGTACCTTGCAACTTGTGGTATCGCACCATCGAGTTCTAAAACTCCGTCAACATGGCGTGTGCTCTCAGCCACACAATCTCTGTTTACAGATTTTTTCATCACAAGCTTCCATCTTCCACTCCCTGCTGTTTTTTGGATTAGCATCGAATTAAAGAGCATTTGCTTTTGCGGGTTCGGTTTGTGGTTTACGTGTGTCTCAGTGTCTGTGTTTTGCAAGAGCATCCAAAAATAACGTATCTTGTTGCACGTTTGGCTAAACTTTTGCAGTCTTTGTCGCAAAGTTTGCACCTGTACTGGCAACATCTCCGATTTATAGCAAGCGTTTGAGGTTTGGCAAAGGAAATAGATTATAGCTAAGCATTCGTTCTAACCCATCTCGGCCAACTTAAAGGCAAGATTGACAAAAAGTTTCAACTATAGTAGGTTACAACATAGCATGAGTACAAGCGCCGCCCACAGGAACTGTGGCGCCATCTGCGATTCATTTGTGTCAAGAGAGTTGTGCTAGATGGTTTGTATTCACACCTTAAGTACTTTCTGGCCGCTCATGTAAATAATACACATACTAAGAACTAACTAAAAGCTTGTTGTTCCCTCCTAAAATATTACGCCTGGCTAAGCAGTCGTGTCCAAGAGCAAAATTTAGCAGAATGTTGAAGTTCTCAAGCAAAAACCAGTAAAACTAGCATGTCTTTATGCTAAAATCACCTACCTGAAATATGTAAGAGGTGCTTGATGTCGTGAGAATGAACAGTTGGATGGGGCATTTACGCAAATATTTTTGGGTGGGACAGCGATCACTGTGGACAGGGCTTCCATTTATTCTTGCACTGTAAACGACCATAGTTCGTACGGATTCCTGACAAAGCACACCAGCACGGACACAACAGGTTCGTGCCCGCAACTGACGCCAACGGGAAAAGACCCTTGCAGCAAAAAAGAAAGTAGACACAGTAATGGCATGTATCTGATTGTACAGGACTGCCTCATCTCCCCGGAATGCAACAATCTTATACTTGAATACAACCTGTTTGCTCCAGTTTCTTAGAATAGTCTCTAAAGAAAGAGGGAGACTCATTTGTGGGATGAATTTAACCCTTCACATAGATTGTGTTGGATCTCATCATAATTGCTATCTTGACTTAACCATAATGTGCTGGATGTAACCACATCCAACAACCGGTAAAGCCCTTACTATGTTTGACGGCTTGGTTGACGTGCTGTGTTCCTAGAGAAATGTCGCAAGTATTGTTATTTGCTTGAAATGAATACAAACTAAGTCGGAAGCCCACAATTGGATTATTTTCATGTTAAAATGAAGCATGACTGACTGCAGTATAATTATTAGTGAAATGGTGATTAAGATTAATCACTGAAACTGGCACAAAACATATTACTGGGCTTTCTTTCTCAGAATGTAATCTTAAGTGCTTATAATTACGCTGTGCACATGTGACACGTTTGCAGACGATCGACCATAATTCACACCTGAAGACGAAGATAGTTATCTCTCGCAAAGACCCCCACGTTTGCAGGACTGACAGGTAGCAATGTACTCCTGTGCAGGCACAGATAAGATTTTGCACCCACTTTCTTTTCTGCTGCTGTGCGCTTTCAGTTGTTGGCGTTTGTTTTGCTCTGGTATCTTGGGGCCGTGTCTGGACGCCTGCCTTCTTTTATCGGTGAAGGACAGAATGCCATGGAGTGATGTCTTGGGTGTATATAGGCCTAGACTAAATCTTTGAATAAGCTTTTTGTTATAGCCGGCATATTTTACGGCAGGGAGTGTTGATAATACATGCATTGATTTCTTTCATAACGATTTTTGTTGTCTGGGTGTGGCAACAAATAAACATAACACGTGAAGACTTTACACCTTCACAAAGTTATCTGTCTGCCTTTCTCATTGCCTGCTCTGCTGTGCAGTTACTACGAACAGTTGGGTACCTTTGGTGAACTCTCCACATAAGTAAATGTAACCATGCCAACCTGTAAATGTTCACGCCTTGGGCTTGTATTGTTCGCACCACTGTTTCTCTTGCATTGTGATGTACCTTTGCTTCATGCAGGCGAGAATCAAGAAAATAATGCAAAAAGATGAAGAAGTCGGCAAAGTAGCTGCGCCAGTACCTGTTATCATCTGTATCCTTCCATCCTTCGTTTATTCAATTTTATACTGGCTTTACCAACAGTTACCGAGATGCTGGTGAATTTTTTTGTGACATTTTTTAGCCGCTTTATACTGTTACACGTGCGAGATTACCACAACATACTAAACAAAAACCAGATACACATGTGCGCTAACTTCCAACTGCAAATTTCTGCACATTTGTGTGTGTGATCTTTCTGGATTTTGTTTTTATATTTGCGTGCAGCAGCACAGGGCAGGTAAAAAAGAAGTATTGCCATACCATCTAACCATAACAACATTGAACCTTAATTTTTTTACATCACATGCCAAGGTTACACATTTGGCACTGTATAACTTATATTTTATTTTATTTTTATTTTATTAGAATACCCTCAGGGCCCGTAGGGCATTACAGAGGGGGTGGGTACAACATATATAACACACAAGAAAAAAAGACAAAATAAAGAAACAAGTATCAGATGCGCAAATCAGGAAGGCAACATAAGTCAACTAAAAATGTATAAGAATTCAAGCACATACAAGACAAAGATAGATAATGGAAACTGCGTATAGTTACAAGCATTGCTGAGAAATTGCAGTCTTGAATAACAAAGGGTCTGTTATTGATACAACGGAAGAGGGAAGGTGGTTCCAATCGGCGGCTGTTTTCGGTAAGAAGGCTGCTGAAAAGAATTTGGTGCGGCAAAACGGAATGGCAACCTTATGCTGATGATCAATGCGCGATGAGTGGTATGACGGTTGTGAAATGAGGTCTCGCTTCATTGATGGATTGTGAAAAAAATATCTTATGAAAAAAATGCAGTCGCGCCAGTTTCCTCCGGACAGTTAAATTGGGTAGGTCAAGGTTAGATTTCATTTCTGATATGCTAGCAGTACGGGAATAATTAGAACAAATGAACCGAACTGAGCGGTTCTGAACAGATTCTAACGCGTTAATTAAATTTTGCTGCACGGGATCCCATATAGCGGACGCGTACTCAAGCTTGGGCGAATTAGTGATCGGTATAATAGAATTTTGAGGGACAGCGGAGCGCGAGAAAAGTTGCGGCGTAAGTATATTAAATAAGTTTCGTATATGTGGAAGTTACAATAACATTAGCGGCACTTGAGCCAGCTTCAAAAAGGTGGCTTTGCCTGATGCCACTTCTAACGCTTGGAACAATCATGTTACTTTGCGAAATGAGCATTCATCAGAGAACGAGTTTCTGTCGCTTTGGCAGAAACTTGTCACCTTCTTTTGTTGAAAATTTTGTAATGGCTCGTAACTTAACAGTGAAGCGATACGATTATGTTGGCTTCGAGTGCACCGATTGAAGGTTTTGTGTAACTCTGATGGACACGGTTGACAGAAAGTGACACATAAAAGACTTCATAGGTTAGCAGGAAGTACCACGTAAAGAACTCGTACACCAGTTAACAGGACTCAGTATCGCATAGAAGACTCTAAAAGATACAGGTAAGTAGAGCAAAGCACTTTGTCCTTTTTTTTTACACGTCTAAATTTTTTATGATATACTTTCAATCAGTGCGCACTCAAAGTCATTATCATATGAGAAGAATAAGGCATAATGATTGATGCCACATGACTGTCTGAAGCAGTATGCTACAACATGCTGTGAATCAGCGTATTATCTATTATTCCCAGCTGAGCAATTGCAGCTGTGTGCTCTTCTCTGTAAAGAGACAACTGTAAAGAACTTCGTGGTGACGCTAACATCGCAGGCTTTTTCTTCTGTCAGCCAGCTCATTGAAAGTGCTGTGTTCACTGCACAGCATGGCATTTTCAACATGCTGATAATGAACGCGTTATCACTTTTGTGTGCAACAATTCTAAGCATGTGTATGATCTTGCAAGTTGTGGTGTATGTTAACCTATGATTAATCTAAACTAATCACAAGTTTTTATGTCCTCACTTTGTAATAAAGCTATTACTATTCTTGTACGTACTGTTAACTCTGGCTTATTAGAGGTGAGTGAGCTGTGCTGCTACAACTGCTCTTGTCAAACCACAGTTATAGCCCTTCTACTGTCACCGGCATTTTTGTGAAAGTACCATGAATTATCAGAGGGTGCCACTGTCCGCTTTTGCGCATCCAATTTCTATTTTACGATGAGGTGTAATTATTGACTGTAGATGCAACCCACTTATCTTGTGTGTCTGACTTGCTGCAATTTTTGGAAGCTGCAATTTTTGGAAAATAGCATCCAAGCAGCAGTATGCAGCCGCAGAAAGGACTTGCTTCGGGGATACAAAATGGTGCCGCGGAAAGCTGGCGGGGAGCAAACAAGCGAGGAAGGATTGACGTTGTTTAACCTGACCAACGAAAAACGCTATGGAGGGACTTTAACTGTTGTCGGTGCTGCGTTTATTCACCAGCTCCTCTCTTGGCACCACAGCGTCGCTTGAATTGGGGGGGGGGGGGGCTGGAAAATTTTGTTTCTTTGTTTACTTTATTGAAATTCATGCAAAATAAAATGGAAAAAGTATATCCTGTTATGCCAGCATTGTTGCAGGCGCTAACCATAGTTGGAGCTGCAGTTCATGGTGAGGAGGTTCGCCTGTTTTTCTATTGGCCAAAAGCCCCCAGGCGCTCATTTGCGTTAGCGAAGAGTGCGAAAGTCGGGCTTCCACGTGCATTTCCTTGACCCCCGCAACAACCAGCACGAGCTCTCGAGCTCTTCGTAGAGTCCCTTGTAACGCGCGCCAGTGAAATCACAAGGTCGAGAAGTGCCAAGACACTCTCCACGTCTCATTTGTGAGTGACCTTTGACATTTCATTTGTACTGTTCGTTCTGGCACGTGTGTATGCTTTTGCTGCCGGTGAGTGTACCTATCATTAATGGCTGAATGTTATTGTTGTCACTGGCAGAAATGCCAGGTTGAATGTCAGTGTAGAGAATTAATAAATGTAATATGGAATTTAATCGGTCAGGCTTTTTCTCTTTTTCGCCTGAGTAGTTTTGTTACTGTAATCAAACTAGAAATGTTAAATCTGAGTCACTATGGGTTGCAGTTCACTCTCTGGCGGTTCATTGTGTGTGCCCTTTGTTTGGTCATGATCTAAAAATTAACGTCGGCTCCAGCCACGAAACTGCCGCGCCTAGTATCAACCAGTTTTTCTTCTAAACACAAGTACATTTTTTACTCATGTAAATACTAGACACGTTGCAAAACATTGGTTAGTTTTGTCTGAGAGAAAGTATCATTTTTGTTTTGAGTACCGATGTTGAAATCAATAAAATTTGCCGGAATGCCCAAGTTTTCAACCTTAAACCAGCGACACAAATGCGTGTGTGTGTGGCGAAATTCGAAAATGCTGGAACTCAGAAGTGCACGACTCGAAAGAGCTTGCAAAATGAGTGAACACTATTTGACAAAGAATCTGTGCGATTGCCTTTTTCGGGGGATGGCATTGACTGGGGGGGGGGGGGCATAGCTTGTATCTTTTTCAGAGTTTGTAATTTCAGGGCATAACATGCACTTGAAGTGTTGCATCCTGAATGTATACGTAAATTTTGACTAATGTTTGGCTTTACTGGGGGACAGTTAGCTAGCTTGTATACCAGATACAAGTAATCTTTCTATCTGACTGTAGAACCACTTATCAACAGTGCAGAAGTGCATTTGTTGTTTTGCGTTGTTCACGTGCCACTTATCGGCATCGCGAGTTGCTGATTGAGCAGAGGATCTACGGAAGTCAATTTGCTGGCCTGTCAGGAGATAATAGAATAGCATTTATTTTGCACCATTTCATTCACATCAACAAGTACGCTTGTGGGAAATGCAAAACGTAATAGCCAATTTTGACGCACACAAACCAACAGCTTGTAAGTTTGCCCTCATTTATGAGGCAGCTGCCTTATAAATTATTCAGGCTTCTTAATGTATGGTCATGCACCAAAATATGAAAACTATAAAAATATGTTGAATTTCTTCGTTCCCTGCTTGAACAACTTGAAATTGAATGCTTGAGTGGTCACATAATACACGACCATCGCATCGTGCACGTAAATTTACCTAGTATTTGCTCATCATTGTGATGTAAGTGTAGAGACGTTGATCCTATATAATGTAAGTACGTGGGCCATCTCAAGTTTCATGGCATTTCAACACGCGTACATTAAGGAAGGAGAATCTGACAAAAAGAAAAAAAGTTGCCCAGGTGCCTGTAGGGTTTCCGCGTTCCATTAATGCAAATATTGTGGGTATTTTTAGGAAAATGCAGTGAATTGTACAGTCACCCATATTGTATTTTTCTAGGTCTACACAGAAGTGGTAACTGTCATAGGCTAGATGACAAATCACCTTAGTGACAATACTCTACTTGCATTAGCATGAATAGTATTCTTGGCTCTTTTTTTTTTTTCTCGTTTGGAGGGCACTGGGACAATTTCCGCAAGTATTCAACGACAAACACAGGAGCGCTTCTGTCTACTGCACTTTCTCCGTAATTAGGAGAACGTATGCTTTTGGCACGCTCCTCGCTTTCTGTGTCTAGCATTCTTTGCGATTGCCCAGCTAGAGCCGTAAATTATCGCAATGACATTTACCTGGGGTTGTTTGTTTGTTAACAGCGACGCACCTCCCTTTCCTGGCATGCATGCATGTGCGTACAGATGCAACTTTTCTATCGGTACCCAAACTGAGAGTCGCACAGTGTTTGGGAGTTTGTGTGAGGAACTTCACAAGCGTGTCTTCGAGCTGCCACCTCTTGCGTTGAATAGAGGCTTCATTAACACAGATGCCTGCCGCTCGTAAATCAGGTCTTGTTAAGCCTCTATGCGTGTCCTCTATCTTTCCGTTCTCCTTTCTTTTGTATCGCAAGTCGGGCCTGTCAAAAAGAACACCAGGAAAATCTATTCATTCACAACCTTTAGTGTTGACTGTTCCGACAAGTGCTATTCACAATTTTTAGTGTTGACTGTTCCGACAAGTGCAACCGAGGAAGAGGCATTTTATTTTATTTTTTTTCTTGTTTTTTCTTATTGACCGTCGTGGAGTATCAGCGTAATGTATACCCTAGCGGAGAGTGGATGGGATATATAGTTGTAGAAATAATTCAGATGAAAAGAAGCTGCAAGGGAACAGAAAGCGAAAGTGCAAAAGGGCAAGCGCGAGACAGCCCTGCGACTATGCACGACATTTTCCAAGCAAGTAGGTCACGCTGGATGTCAAGAGGCTAGCCAAAGCAGAATTTAGTTTTGGCTCACTTCGTAATGAGCGAGCAGCAGATGCACTTGGAGCGATCTCAGCAAGGCTGTAGAGCTGGATAATCACATAGTTTTCTTGCTGCCACTTTTCGAAAGACACACAAGCGGATGACTCATTTACCAGATGGTTGTCGCTGTAATGTGAGTCAAGCTACACCACTGCGTCAGAGATGCTCAAGTGTCGCGTTATCTCGGAAGCTGTGCCGGGAAAGCATGTGGTCAGAGTCGTGCTGTTGCCATTTTTGTCACTCCCGACAAGTGGTTATGGTGGCAATTTCTTTAACTTTTTTTTTACATTCACGAGCTTTTCGTGTGGCTACCACTGTAATTTAAAATTTTGTACCGAAACTAAAACTTTTGATGCCATCTAAGCAGAAGGGAAGAAGATGAACGCTTTTTATTTTTACTGAAAAGACTAACCAAATTTCGAGAGAACATTCATATCCATCGTCAACATGGTTATTTATCTAGCACAGTATTAATTAGCAAATTAAATCACTTATCAAATTCACATTTTCAAATACTCATGTAAAATACGTGATATCAACACATGCAGGCTCATTTAGTAGTATTTTACGAATTTGATATTAACATGAAGAGATTTTGTTGCAGTAGGCCTTTATGTAGCACTGACGACATTCTTTTTTTTTTTCACTGGCAGCAAATCGTGTGTCATGAGGCGTTGGTTGGTACACCATTGCTTGAGCTGGCAGATCACATGATCTCGCTTTGTCCAATCAAGTGTATGCACATGTATTTCAAGTCTAGCAGTCTATTAACAACACCATGTGACCTCGCCAGTCGATTACGTACATCCCCGCTCTTTGCAGTTTTGCAGTCTGCCATTTTGTGTGAAAATGCCATTCTCTTTTTCTTCATTTCATTAAAACACCTTCATCATCCATATTTTCCATTCTTTTGACAGGAAGGCGTGCATTCTGGCAGACGAGCGTCTGTGCTTCTTGAAGGAGTTGGTCTCCTCAGTTCCCGACGTCCAGGGCGACGAGGAGCCCTACGAGGTACCCCCTGTGCGGCCTAAACTTACAGGGTGAGCACCCCCTGTCTTCTTGCCACGTAAGCCGATGTCGCAGGCTCTTGACACGGGCAACTTGTCATGCGTTCATTAAAAAAACTCGACATTAAATTTAATAATTGAGGTGTCTCTTTCATTCGATTACTCGGTATGCAAAGGTTCTGTTGGCCAAATTTGAATCGCGTCCATCCCGTGGCAGTTATAATATTTCGACGGCAAAAAAGAGTACGAAACCTCAACGGAAAATGGAGTTCCCTGCGACATCGACCCTAGTGCTACGTGTTCGGTGTGATACATTTAACACATACCATTTTGAGTGACGATGCGCTAGTGGCGATGACGTCCACGATCCGAGTGTTCTTATTGCGATGGCGACTTGCGCCAAAGCCTGGAAACGTTCTCGATCTTGATGTCTGATCTTCATCGCAGTGCTTTGAATGTTTTCATGAAATTAAAACAACTTATAAAAGAAAGGCGAATGAAAAGAGCTTGATTCACTGTGTGCTTTTCAATCAGCATATTGGGGAACCGTTGTGAGCTGCAGTCATGTGGTTGAAAGTGCGGAAAAAACGCAATGAGTGTCTTAATTATTACAGTGTGTCTTTTCATTTACCACAAGCTATCAAAGTGGAGTAGTGTATAGAAGGATATCATTGCTAACAAGTAATAACACGCAGGTATCGTTAATAGTGAATTTTAGTCTGTCCATACACTTATTTCTAATACTGGGTTACTGTTGCTGTAACCGTGAGAGACCAGATAGGCGGGGCTATCTGGAGGCACTAAGAAGAACCTGGCAAGCAAAGATTGTATTGTTTCTACGCTGGTGGGCATTTCCTATACCGATATTTCATTGATCTCTTTTTGTATTCCTGAATGCTGTGCGCGTCAGTACTCCCCAATATGGCTAATTGAGACACACGAGCGAGCATGGTCGAAGCACGCTTCCTCGGGCACCTCCTCTTTGTTGCTCGGAATGGCCTCTATTTTGGTATCGCTGCTCCGCAAAGGATCGATCTTAGCAAAAATGATTCGCGATGTTGCGAATCGCAACGATTTCAAGCTCCAGATTGTCGTACTCAAACTTAGTCGACATTTTGTACGGCGACGACGGCAATGCAGGTGACACGACGTGACTGAGCGCGAGCACTTGGCAGACGAAATGTTAGTTGAGCCTCACATGACTTTTTTCTGTGGAGAAATGGTCAGCTGTGGCGCGTTCGAAAATGGCCGCGACGAAGCGCTGCAAGCGCTAAAATTGGCGAGATTGTCATTTTGTATAATGCTCTACACTCGTGATATAAATCAATAAAACTGGTTATTCATCCCTTAGTTGCCTTTTAGGTCATGAATCGCTACTAGGGTGTGGATAACTACTCGTGGATGCAAAAATCTTGACATGAGTAAATTTGATGTCTGTGATCCTTTGTCTCGTTCCAATTGTCATGTAGCCGGAAAAATAAATAGCTTCACCAAGACGGCATCAAGTACAATGCAGGCTACCTTGTTGTCCAAACAAGATGACGGTCAGGCTAAAGGCTAAAAAAGTTGGTTGCCAGCTGGAAGGAAGACATCAGCAGGGTTTGTTACGCACCTAGTTTGTGATACATTAAAGTTTTTGCAGATTGAACATTAAAGAACTTGAAAGCACAGTTTCATACGACATTTTGAGTTTTCGTTTGTCAACGCAAGGTGGTGTTGCAACGTACAGAGATCATGCAGACTTGTTCCATTGCTCAGGTGTCTTAAGCTTGATGCTGTCGTCTATGCTGTTAACAAACATTGTCTACGATGCTGTCGAGAAGGGGAACACAGACATGTTGCGACGCTTTGTCTAACCAGAATGGCAGCGTGGGACAGTGTTCGATCCGATCTCCTTTGCGCAGTGTCCGGAAGCTTCGTGCCAAGAATGGTAGCATCGATGTCGCCGGGCCCAGCCACTCCACCGCAGAAGAGACGGACAGTGCGGAAGATGAGGAGGACGACTACTTGGAAGAGGTTTGCGTGCTCATTGCACCTTTTTTTTGCCTTCATTTAGCCCCTCCGCCAAGCTCCTAGCCTTGTCACTGTTTCGATAGCTCAGATATTCGAAGGTGGGGATATGTAGGTCTGTTGACACTTTGTTTGCATCACAGCAGAGCATTGCAGGTCTCAGATTTCGTGCAGTGCTTGTTGCTGGGCACTTTAATGTTGTTGTCGTAGGTCGGTAAACTCACTCGTAAGTCGACTCGCTTGGACTTGCTCAGACCGGGCCGCGAGTTTGAGTCCAAGTGAGTCCGGTTGAAGAAAATTTTCTTGAGTACGAGTCCAAGTGATGTCGGTTCGTGAAATTTATTGAGAGTCTGTGTCCAAGTGAATCCAAAGTGCAAGATAAGCTTCTTGAGCGAGTCTGAGTGAGTCCGACAATTTGTGCTGACCTGTGGTTGTAATGCTTTTTTTTTTGCATTATTCACAAGTAGCTCACACGTAGCTATCAAATTTGTGACCAATCAAAAGCTTCCAACATTCAGCCAGCATGTTAAAGAAACACTAAAAAAAACTACGATGATGGCCGGGCTGATGCAGCACAATAATCGCGATCGAAGGCTGCGTTACCATCTTGCTGACAAACGTGTCGCAGTATCCGACGGTAGACTGGTGATGCGCCGCAGGCCTTCGCATTGACTTTCATGTATTGAAGTGTCTCTCACAAGATTTGGGCATTGCAAACAAAACATACAAAGTTGGCAATGATAACCGGGCAGGTCGGTTTACTAGTTTTATCCTCACACTTGGTTGGAAAGAAGGCCCAGCAGTATTGGTACAACAGTACTACAACAGCTCTTCTGTAGAGGTTTCTTTTTGCTGTTAAATTGCTTTACCTAGGCATCAAGACAGCTGTTAATCGCTGACTCGAAGCCTTGCTTGTGCAGGAGACAGATGACGGGAGCAGCGAGAACACAGCCGAGGCTGTGTATCCGTCACTCTATCCAGGTGTTCGGAAAACTGCTTATCTCCAGCCCCCAACGTGAGTGTCATCCCCAGATGTTTCAAGTTGTGCAGAATATGCTACAGACAATCGCACCAGGGAAAGCAGTGTTGGGAACTTTTATTGCTACCTTGAATTGTAGCGGCATGATTGTAAGATTTCCCTTTCCGTCGGTGGGGTCCGACAACCCTCGAACAACTTGTTCAATGTTCTACACTTCATGCCCTTCACATGCAATTCCTGAAAGTGGGTCACCCTACAAGGGATTACACAGACAAAAGCCCAACAGAGTGGACGAGGTACTGCGTTCTGTCGTAGCTCGAGCAATGTTTCACTGCGTGGGAACTTGATATACGCATGCACCCACCCAATACTTTTGCATGGCAAAATAAGGGGATTTCTCAACAGTTGAATACAGCCAATAATTTGATGTATCTGGTGTCGACTGTATGCAGTTGTACCTGAATATTAGAAATGTTAGAAGGTATTTTACTTGTTTAGAAGTAAAACTTCTGTAGCCATCAAAAAGTGCTCACTAATTTGTGTCTTCATAATGCAGTGCTCAAGACCTTGACGATACTTGTTGGCGAGAACGACGATACTTGTTGGAGAGGTCATTCTGTTATAAAGGGGGTCATTCTGTTAATGGCTCTCTTCTTCCAACCTTCTTTATATATTATGCTTATGAACAAAGCATGCATGATTGCTCTTAAGCATTTTTTTTTTCATGAGGCACTCCTTGTGGTTACCATGCGAAACAAAGATCAGAGTTGGCATTGAGATTTTAGAAATTTTGGGGATGAAAATAAGTATCAATATGCTGTTTGTATGCTGGCGTCAAGAATTCTTGAGAAGTTGCCCATATGTGGTGTACGTAAAGGGCGTCTGATATGGCAACATTATCCAAAATTTTTATATATTACACCCCCCTTTTATTGCTCCTACCTTCTTTACTATCGTGGCTATCCCATGAGTAATTTTTGTGACAGTGGCCCACTAGTTGAGATGAGTTTGAGACCACTGTTATAGCATCATTCGACTAGTACATTTTTCTATTCTGTTGGTTTGAATGTTCATTGGCTGACAATTTTTGTGACACAAAATTGTATTTCATACAAATTACATACAATGTGTGAATACATATGCCTGAAATGTGTAGTATGAGAACATGTACTGAAATGGGCTCAGCAGCTTGTCAACATGAGCAATGTACAGGGAGAGGGTCAGAAGTCCACATGCCTCTACCCCTGTGTATTTCTATGGAAGCATGGCCTGGGAGCTTTTGACCATGAGTGTATAATAGCACAGTATAATGAACAAGCATTGAAAGCTTAGGTGTTTTTCAACTATACGAGTGAAATTTGTATGCTGACTCAAACAACAGTATGGGGTTGGTGCATGCGTATATCAAATTCGCACACAGTGAAACATTGATTGAGCTATGGCAGAACGCAGTACCTCGTCCACTTTGTTAGGTTTTTGTCAGTAGCATTGTCTTTTACAGGTGGAGTGAAATTAAGTTCTGAAATAACACCATCAGGTCTACGTAGATAGGAGCACTAATAAAATTTGTGGAATAGCACATATACTTAGAGACAGGGACCGAGTAGGCATTGCAGGCTCTATGTCCATAAATTTAGAGCATTTCTTTGATGTCATGTCATACGGCAAGGCTGCTCCTCTGAGCACTGATAAATTTGCGTTCAAGTGCATCTCATTTACTACACCTAATGTGGGCCTCACTGCCTGCTTTGTGGCATTCTTTGCAGATTTCCACCTAATATCCCACACCTGCCTCAGTACCCTGGAAACCTCATGGCTGGTTCAGCAACGAAGAGCATGGCCAGCTCAATGGCAAACATCATGGCCAGTTCATCAGCAGTGGCAACAGCGGCGACGGCTGTAAATCCAGACGATGACTATGATTCTTGAGGACTTAACAGGACTTCAAGCACACATACAAAAAAAAAAAAAGCGGATGTGATATGCAACCAACCTCATTCGCCAAGCCTGGGGTGACTGAAGCGCTTCATGTGGCATTCGACGCTCGAGTCGCCAGCTGATGACTTTTGACCAGTATAAGTGGAGTGATGCCAATGTAGAACTTCATAGTGTCATTGGGCAGCCTACCTGTCCGCCAATTTTAAGTCAAGTCGTGGGTATTTGTGCTTGCAGTGCCAATTTTAAGCATTAAGGAGACAGAAAGTCAAGCCAAGGCACACAGAAAAGTGCAAAAAGCATGTGAAAGTGCAGTACCCAGTGTTCCCGGTGCATCGTTCTCGCCGATTCATGCAAAGCCCGCTGGAGACCTGGTGTTACACCATTGCTACTTTGGTGCAGCACCAGTGTTGCCCCGTGGTTGCCTCCTGGTCGGCAGCGAGACTTGCGAGAGTAGTGACTCAAGTGTTTGGCAACACAAAGCCTGGATTGTTCAAATGCGTCGGTGTTTTGCTGGACTGCCATCTCATCGCCGGGACTCTGCACCGAAGCTGTACGAAGCCTTCAGTTGCACCTAGTGAGCACACCACATGCTCCGCATAAAACATGCCCTGACTGTTCCCGGCCTCATTTTCCCTATTTCTCCTTCGCATTGCCCTTCCTCCAAAAGTGTTCATTCATTTGTGTCACCCACGTCATTTTCGTCACTTAGTGATGTCCCAGACGATGCACGTCCGCGTCTGCCACTGAAGCATCCCTCGAGGTTGTGTTGTACATAGGCGGCCCCCTTCCTTCCACATTGTCTGTCAGGTGTGACGTAGTAACTTAAATTGAACATAAAAAAATGCTAATAAATTTGATTTTTTTAGACTTGTGGTGTAAGCTTATTGACACACTAAGGGACACAGCTGCAAGCCATACGCAACTGCATCTACTGAACACATGGAGTTGCATTTGCTGAACATACAGAGGAGCCATATGTAGGAGCCCTGCAGGTGAGATGGTGCCACCTGCATCTATATGCTATCTCCAGCAGAGGCCCCTGGCTCCGTCCGAACTGCCATGGCATCGCATTTTTCTAAAAGGAATTGAAGACGTGACCTAACAAGCTCAGGCAATTTTTTGTGGGTCAAAACAGCTCAAGTAGCTGAAATACTTAAATATCCACAGCCATCTAGTAGTCAACTTCTTTGTAGGAAAATAATTATAATAGTTAATGCAAAAATACAGGCTCTGTAAATGGCCTTGACTACCCATACTGCTTGCTGCCTTGGTATCTTTTCACTTCATAAATCTAGTAGTTTGCTAACCTGAACTCCCAGGTTGCTAAGGTTGGCAAATGCCATGCAAGCAGTTGTAGCTCATGAGAACGAAAAGCTATTACTGCGGTAAAAACAAAGCTATGTACGAGAAAAAAAAGTCTGTAGGTCATAGGCGCCCGAAATAAACAGCGAAATCTTGTTCGGCAGCTATTCAATCAAGTATGACAGTTCTGTTGTTGGTGAATACTGTGACGGCACCCTTGAAAGTAACCGAACCTTGCAGCACTTCGAATAGGCAAGCCAGCTTTCTGTGGCAGTCATTCCAGGTATCTAGCCTCCTTTGGAGGCGCACATGGGGGTGCCAGTGCAACTGCGGACAACCGGGCAAGTCAAGCAGTATGAATGTTCAACGCATGCCCTCTTCCATCAGTGTTCTTTTCAGACTCTGCATGGCTCTCTGTCACTTTGTCTTCCTGTAAGGCTTGCTTAGTCTCCTAATCTCCAAGTCTTTTAGATGCGAAGCATCTCTTGCTCGGTCCTTGTCCCACGGCGTCCGCACTCACACTAGTCTCCCTCTCTCCAACAGCTACGCATTCTCTCTCAACTCCCCTCCTACCACCTGCTTGTGCTCGCTTCCCCTCTCTCTCCTCTAGGCATCCCGCCCAGTGGTGTTAACACCCCCATCGTCCCCTCTCCTCTTTCTTCTATGCTTCCATGGAGTTTTCTGAATATACACTAGAGGGAACTCTAGCACTAGTGTCTACGGGAGCTGCAACGCATGGCGCTTCAGAGAGCATGGGAATCATAGGTATGACATTGATTTGCCTTGTTTTTGTACTTTACATTCGTTCTGGCTTTGCGTGGCTTGAAGCTGCTTTGTCACGAAACAACTATCAGCAGTAACGCTTCACCACCTTAATATTTTAGACTTGCCACTTCAAATAGGGTCACAAAGTGAAAAACGGTGTGGTGTTTTTGTCAGAACAAAACAAAAACACGGCAATAAACGAAGCCACAAATGCAATTTGCCGCCTGCAAGCACGAAGACTAGGCAAATCCATGTCATACCCATAGTTCCCATGGTCGCTGAGCAATCGCAGCGCCAGTGTCCTCTCTAGTTAATTTTAGGAAATTCTATGCATGCTCCCCCCTCTCCCCGATGCAACGCCGATGCTGGGAGCGTCTGATAACCTACACTTGCTCCCGGCCCCCCTCCTCTAGGCATTCCTCCCCGCGCCCTTTACACCGCCATTGGGCATGCACATCCTCTTTCCTCTCCTATGTTGCCTCCTCTCGCCTCGCAATGCTGATGCAGGCAGCGTCCGCTAGATGGTTTCTTGAATGAAAAAACAGACTTCTCGCGCTGCACAACCATTCACTGGCCACTCCGTATGTTTAGGCACTTTATCTTTAACTCCAAGGTAGGGCCCGTTGGAGATTTCTCCCGTGCGTTGTTGAACAATCAATTTTGCAGCGTGCGCGTTAACAAAAACGGACTGCGAGTCTCTGTGTCCAATCGGAGCCTTCCGTTTTTCACTCACTACCAATTAGCAGTGATAGGCATGTTCCAGTAAGAAACACCAGTCCATCACTGCGTGCACTGTGCCTCCCCAGGTTTGTCTCCTGGGCAACACCGCGATAAGCGTCAACGTTGCCGCCAGTATAAGCAATAGCGCCCACTGCTTCGCATCTACATATGGTTTCTTTGCTGGAGATAACGTAATTTTTTGAATGCGCAGCATCTTGGGGTCGAGCTCAATCCAGTGTGTGGCGTGGACATCCTTGAAGCGCATGCGCACCCCTCCCGCTCTCGCTCCTCTTCTACTCTCCCCCCTCTCTTCCGAGTCACTGGCGAAGGCAGTGAAACACCTCCTCAGTAGTGGCATGTCCACACCTTCAATGTGCATGTGCATCCCTCTGCCCATCTTTCTCCTCTCCTACACTCTCTCCTCTTATACTCTCCGTAGAAACGGGTTCCACATTTCCCTGAGGCAAAGTGAATCTGTGTTGTTGGGAGGGCACGTGACCACCCTTAAAACGGTAAGTTGAAATTCGGTGGCATGCTCAGGCATGATAGTTGCACCGCTATTCTAAAAAAAATCACTTGAGAGATTTGAAGTGATTATTGGTATAGTCTGCTGTACTTTAACATTTACCATACAAGAGACAAGCATGGGCATTTTTGCTATTCATGGCACAGCTAAAAAAAAACTCTGGACACAAATGGGAACAGTACAAGGCAATGCATTTTTTTAGGTGCGAAGCTCCTATGGCATGGGTCTGTCGCTCCTCCATATATATATATATATGTATGTATGTCGCCACTGATGATACATACCCGCTCTAGAGTGGGTATGTGCCACAGGGGTTGCGAGATGGGAGATGGAGGCACTTGGAAGTTCACTAGATCGATGCATGGACGAATGCACGGACATACTAGCAGACGGATCGATGAATGGATGCACGAATAGATGGATGAATGGACTGAAGCATGGATTGACGCACAGAAGGTCGTGTAGACGGAAGGAAGCAAGAACGAACGGACAGATGGAAGCAAGAACTGACGTCGAAGCAATAACGAACGGATGGAAGCTAGGATGGACGGAAGCAAGAACGGATGGAAGCACGGACGGGCTGACGGACGCTTCGCCCTGCTCATCATTATTCACTCCGTGGATGTGCTGCGATTTTTCCATTTTGCCTTCTTTTCTTTTTCTTCCTTGTTGCCGCAAAATTTTGAACGCAGTAGGCCACATTTGGATGTATCACATTTACTCGGTATTTTGCTATAACTGACCTCCTGCAACATTGTGAGCATGTGCGGTGAATTAAGGGTCTCTTTACTTTCTCACTCTGCCCCCAACTTCTAAATGTGAAGCATTTCTTCGTGTACAGCAGTCACTTTGAATACCCGTGTCTGTCTGGCTGTGTCTAATAACAAGTGGTAGAGGGGTAGCAACTGGGACCAGTTCCTGAGGGCACTGACGGGTCCCCGCATGAAATTTTTCCATAAATCATTTGAACTAGTACCATTTTTGCATTCCCAGTTGCAAATTTTCACAAAATAAAGCAAATTGTGAAAGTTTGTGAACTAAATGATGTCAAAGGTCGACATTAAGTAAAGCAATGGGACACAACTTGCAGCCCCTTTAGTTGATTGAGGGGAGGGGGCTTCCCTGCTGCCCTCCTGGGTACGCCTGTGGTAACAATAATATATTCCATTGTACGCTTCAAAACCACGTCTTCGGTAGGTTTCTATGTAGTGCATGTGCAAGACAGGACAAAACAAGGGCACACATGTAGCTCGCCTTCATTTTGTCCAGTCTTGTATGTGCGCTACTATGAAACCTACTGAAGATGTGCTACCAACAAGCCAGTCTCGCATCCATAGCGAATTCGAAAACCACGGTATTGGTCAGCTCTGGACATTTTGACCATTTGGCGTTCTTGAATGTACACTGACGCTGCACGACACACAGGCCACTGGCAATGCATTTCGCCTCCATCAAAATGCGACCGCCATGGTTTCGACGACATATACACTGACGAAACTGCAAGGCTGGTTGCGTTCCCTTAGCAAGGCCAACGCAGTCCTATCTTTCAAAAGTCTTTCATATATACTGTATCACTGCTCTTTATTAAATGCTTGTTGTTAAGCTTTGAGTTGGTAGTATAGTTTTATTGCATCTTGACCATATAGCACTCTTGTACACAGGTTTACGAAGAAGCCTTAAGATGCACTGAAACGTTGTATTACGGCTCTTAATTTAATACTCTTTGTTAAGCTTTGAGGTGGCAGCCGACCACAAAGTGTCATGTGACAGTGGTGCGACTATGTATGGTAACAGCGCTGGCCATTTGTTGGATTGACTGTTGCCTCCTTCCTTTTACCCAACGTCTGTGGCGCATACCTGTTTACAGCGCCCACAAGCGTTACCCTGGATCCCGGACATAAGAAGGGCTCGACCAAAAACAGCCTCGCTGGTAAAATATAATACACAGAAATAGAAAGATATACAAAGAAAAGGACACAAGAAAGACATAGAAAGAAAGAGAAGTAAGGCAAAAATATTGAGACAGAAAAAGAATTAGAGAAACAGAAACAGTCTCAAAAAGGAAAAGAATAACGAACACAACAAAGAGAATAAAAGAAAGAGACAATGAAATCAAGAAATAGGGAGAAAGGCAAGAAGAACGGATAAAAAGAAGCAGACAGAAATAAATATAAAATAAACGGATAAAAAAAATACAATAGAAAGAAAAAAATAAACACAAACTAGGCAGGCCATCCAGCGCCCACCCGTCAGGCTTGGCACCACAATAGTGTGAAGCCAGCCCAATTCTTTGAACTAGAAGATGCGCAGTTGGCAACTTGATATTTCGTTTAATATTTTTTTATAACGAATGTAATTTCCTCAAGTTGTTCTCGAAAAAGGAGAGTTGGCCTCCCTGTCTAAAAAAAGAAAAAGAAAATTTCACACGCATTCAGTTGACGATACATATTAGCTTTCCCAAATCAAAAGGCCTCATTTTAAAGCTATACAATCTCACAACATCCATTTATTTACACGGCAGCCGCACGCCCGCCACCTCCGAGGCTCCAGAAGCAACACACCCTAATCGACTTTTCCATGTAAAGGTAGACGAGAAAAAAAAAAACTATTGGCCACATAAATGCTTGGTCGAGATTGCATAGATGCACCTGAAACTTGGCATAATTAATTTGTGTTATGACCGTATGCTTAAAAGAAAAAAGAATATATTGTGTCGTAATAGCAAATGCTTCGAAAGACAGAAAACAGAAAACCAAAGACAGCTCGGGTTATCACAAACAATTTTATTTGAAAACAAGTAACTCGATTGCATAGCACTGGCAGTTTGGTGGCCGCCATGTTTCCCCTAGTAAAACATTCCGCATGACACTCCAATATTCCATATATTTTCTTAAAGAACGTGTTTGTCCCATACTTCAGCAGTAGTCTTACTGAAGCACTCGGAATTATTTGAATAGCATACGAGAAGTTTCAGGAGGGTTGTACACGGCTTCAAATGCTGAAAATATGCAATAACTTGCTCCGCAAGTTTGTAACAACCCCCAAAAGTTTTAAAAGTGGGGCAGCTTTGTTGAAATGTATTGAAAACTTAAAATTAAAAACAAAACAAGAAATACATGCAAAAGGCTTGCAGCTGCTACAGATGACCCAGGTGGCCGTGATCATGCGGTTGAACCGGCAAATTGTTTAGATTTTCCTCGCTATTCTATTCTCTGGTGCGCACTAGCTGAATAATAAATATTCGAGTGAACGCACATTCCTGCTGCGTCTTGAACTCGGCAGCACAGAGAGTGTATCTTAAAACGCCCACGTTTCAACGCAATAAACACCAGAAACGGTGTATTTTGAAGGACGCAACTGCAAGAGTAATTGCGCCAGCTGTTGTTCATATAGACCAAGGGTTAGCTGTCGCGATCTGAAGATAATCGCTCACCGGAATGCAGCTTGACATTTTTATCTTCACGGAAAGTAATTCATGATTCAGTACTGCATCCGTAGCATACGTGACGATGTGGAGTTCGTCAATGCAGCATTCTTATGCAACGCTGTTGCGATCGCTACGCATGCAAAACTCGCTATAAGTTTGAGCGCCACGGCCCCACCAGAGAGGCTTGTGTACGCAAGCCCTCATGTCTCTGCATTCTCGTTGGATGCGGCCGGGAGCATAAAGGAACACAACAACGAGTGTGCACAAGCGGTTTGGGGGTCGCCGGCATTAAAACTCTTCATTAGGCCTAGCTGCTTCAACTCCTAGATCATCCCTACACACAGTGGTCCACTATATGGAATTAGATCTCATGAGTCAGATGATTGGAGAGCAAACGGCCTCTCTACAACTTGCGATACATATCGCCAGCGTGGACACATGTATCACATGACGAAGACAGCATCGACCTCTAGTGGGGAAATGCAGATGCAAGGGGTCGTTATGACAGGCCGTCTCCGTTGCAGGTGCCATATTGCTGCGCCTTATGCACGCGGCCCGAAACGGTCGTAAACTCGCAGCTGGACGAGTTCGTGGCAGTGTCGGCGTCCAGCAGCCGCCCGTGCGTATTCGATCGGATGATGGTGGAACTGGAGCAGCACACTTCACGAAGATAGACGGTAGTCACCAGAACGGCCTGCGCGAAATGCAATGCAGGCACGGTTGCCAAAGGGTAGAAGGCGGAGTGATACTAAAGTTTAGGCATGGCTTTGCTATCGGAAAACCAAATGAACAACAAAATATAGAGAAAGCCTCACAAAGTTGTGCAACGCAGGCAAACAGCGTGGTTTGTAAAACTACCATTCAAAGCAGGATTAAGGCTAAGCAATGTTACTGCTCTCCCTCGCTTCTCTTTCTTGCCTCGACACTTCAATGCTTTGCTATGCTTTACCATCGGCTTCATCCCCACCCGTCTCCATCACCCTTGTTACACTAGGCTTGTGCTAATCTCTTTCTCTCTTGCTGTACACTTGCATCCTCTCAAGATTAAAAAAAAGCAAGCACGCCCCGAGGCACTTGAAAAATGGTTTGCCTCCCCTAATGGGGTCTATTACGTCGACATGGCTGGGTTGTCACCGAGAGGTTACTACACGGCAGCAGTGATACATCAAGAAACACAGGTGGAAGGCCTCACTTTCAAAGCTACAAACCCAAGTCAGGCAGAGGAGGTGGCCATCACATTGGCCGTATCCTATCCTAACTCAAAACAAATAGTTACGGACTCACGAAGAGCCAGTGAGAGCTATCTGACAGGGAAATCTCTCCGTTGGCAAAAAGACTATTAAAATTGAGCATCTAAGGACCGTGATCCCACTCCAAAATGTCTTAATGAACACTGGCACATCAGGGTCTCCACGGTAACGAGGCTGCACATTCAGCAGCCCACGTGCTTACTTCCAGGCTGCTCCCCGTTGCCCTGATAGACCTGAACGTCCCACACTTTAACATGGTTTCCAGAAATCAAAGAATATTGAGAATATTGGCGTATTTGCCTTTAGGCGCCACTACAGCGGCGCCTACATACAAATACGCCCCTCTGTCCAGCCATACTCAAATAATACGACCCAAAAATAAGTGGACAGTGCCAGTACTGTGGTGAAGTGAGCAACACTTACCATATGATCTGGACCTGCCAAATTAACCCAAAATTAACGCCCATCCCCAACCCTACCAAAGAGGACTGGGAGACGACCCTACCTAACAGCTCCACACTAGAGGAACAGAGAACTCTGGTCCAGAGAGCTCGGGTGGCGGCTTCGACTAATGATGACCCAGACTAGGGATTTTGACAAGCTCGGTTGGGATAAGGGCTATCTGGCTCTGCCAGCTTAAATAAAGGTTTTTTTTCTCCCTCATCCTGCGACTTGGCAATTCTGTGAACATCACTGCTCACAAATCTAATGTAGAAGACTCAGAATTCTTTCACTGCCGTAAAGATGGGAGCCAGCAAACCCAGCGGCTGCACGTTCTGTGGCAGTGACTTTTATGTCGTTTTCGTGCCGTTCAATTCGCGGCTCTCGTTCAAGTCACGCTGCCCTTACTCCGAGTCAACAATAGAGTTTGTCCCATTCTCTGTTCCTCCACACTAGAGGAACAGAGAACTCTGGTCCAGAGAACTCGGGTGGCGGCTTCGGCTAATGACGACCCGGACTAGGGATTTTGACAAGCCCGGTTGGGATAAGGGCTATCTGGCTCTGCCAGCTTAAATAAAGGTTTTTTTTCTCCTTCATCCTGTGACTTGGCAATTCTGTGAACATCACTGCTCACAAATCTACTGTAGAAGACTCAGAATTCTTTCACTGCCGTAAAGATGGGAGCCAGCAAACCCAGCGGCTGCAGCTGCACGTTCTGTGGCAGTGACTTTTATGTCGTTTTCGTGCCGTTCAATTCGCGGCTCTCGTTCAAGTCACGCTGCCCTTACTCCGAGTCAACAATAGAGTTTGTCCCATTGAGAGTCAAACGGCACTTGCCAATAACAGTGCGAGCGCGATGTCTACGGCACGATACAATTAAACCCGCGTAGCTATCGATGGGATGTGCCACAGCCAGGTATCCTGCCACTTGTGAAAGGAGGTCGGGCTGTCGTATCTGCTGAAGGCTGAATCCCGATGTAGAAATTCAACTGCTCAATAGGTCAGCTGCGGCAGTTGACGTGCATACTGCTCAACGTTTGTCTGGGTAGTGACCTAATGATCCTCTTCGAAGCCAGGCAGCCTGTTCTTGTAGCCACCACACATGTGACTCTGCCTTGGGTGATGCTGTTGTGGTGCTGTGCCTTATGGAAATTTTATATAGTGCAGCGTGTAACTGTTTGACGCCAAGCCATATTGAAAGAGAGTTTTCCTTTTTTATGGCCAGGCTAGAATGTTGACAAAGTGGAGGCTGTGCGGGTTCATGCTCTAGAGTGGTCGGCGCAAAAGAATCGGTGGTGGCGAGAGTACGATGGGTGCATGTACAGCACGGTTCACTGTTAAAGGAAACACTCGAATGCACACCAATATTCCTGGCCCCTTAAGAGCAAGTGGATGAGGAAACGATATTCATGCAAGTCAGTAGTCATAAGGAGTCAGAACGTTCAACCACCAGTAGTCTTATGCATGCCTAAGTTACCATGCTTCCGTAACAATGCGAAATCTAAACATGCTGCTCACACAGGTGTTCCCTTTAACAGTGGATCCATCTGTACCTAGGGATGAGGAGAACTTGTGACCAAGGGCGCCAATAATTGTTTTAAGCGTGTTGTCTACAGACGCTATCCGCCAGAACCTAACCATGCATATAGCGATTCACTGTGAAAGGGTTCAGGCATGGCTTTGCTATCGGAAAACCAAATGAACAACAAAGATATAGGGAACCAACGGTGCCAATAGCAAGTCATTATGAGTGTACAACAGGCTATATGACCACAGAGCAGTCATGACACTGTATACGGTGATCGCAAGTAGACGAAAGCATTCACACTAAATGCTCTGCAGACGGCAACTGGTACTAGATTTGTTGAGGCATATGTATGTGTTTTTTCTGCTGAAATAGTCAAGTCAACTTTAAATAAAACCGGAAAAATCAGTTTTTTGCTGACAATATGGTAAGACCTGCTACAATTATCTTTTGCCAGTAAACTACAGTCACCAAAAGAAAGACTCGATCTTGCGCCTAAAATCTCTATAGCCTGATACTCTCGGCAATCGGGAAGAAAATTTCAATTCGGCTCCTACAGACTGGAACATTTTATTTGGGCTGAATATCTCGTAAAAGAAGACCAATTCGCAGCAAATAATAATATAGCAATACCATTATGACAAAATTAACACCATAATTGCGATTCAGTACCGCACTTTGATGTACGAGAGCAATGGGGATGACTTGTAGAGTGAGTGGCCCTTCCAGGCAAAAGGCGTGCCATTATAGACTATCGGCAGCATTCTTGGCATCTATAGAAGACTTCAGCATAATGCGTCGGCTCATCTTCTTACCTCACTTATGCCACACCACTTCGGATCAGTACTTCTTCAAGGCTTATGCCTACTTATCTTATACATATCTTCTATATCAATGATGCCGTCTTGGAGCGAAAGAATGGTGTCTTACTGAAACACTAGACTCGAAAAAAATCCCTTAAAGGCAGAAAGAAACAGAGAAGGTAGGAAAATAGCCTATTTATTCTTTATATTTCCTTTTTATTCTTTATATTTAAGTCTTGCCTTACAACATCAAGTCTTTTTCTATGTACCAATTCACTCAAGAAAAACTAACTGAGGAACGAAAGCACAATAGCAAAGCACTAATGTTGAGGCCGTGTTGGTCGTTTAAGTTTCGATTGCTGACGCAGTGCTGGTTCAATAGATGTGGCTCAGTTTGGTTTAAACAGAAGCAGGATCTGGCTCGTGAGTTCATCTTAAAATGAGGCATCACCCCATTTCGATTGCAAATAATCGTTTTGAAAATTATGGATACTTAGGCATGCTTTATGCTCCCACGAAATTCAGCCCAGTCTCAGTTTTTATATTTTGCTCTTATAGATTAAAAAAAAAATGCCACATATGATTAGCGAACATTCCTTTGGGAATACAAGAACTACCTCTGGGAATAATTAGTGCAACCTATCTCAGAGCATTCCCACCACTACTCACCACGATGGCTTGAAAGCTGAACAGCACAACGGTGCCCCAGGCGTAGCCCACGTGCTGCAGCAGGACGCCTCCGAGAGCAGGGCCAGTGAAGGACCTATGTTCAGTCACCACAGAACAGTACACGCTATCACAACTTTGGCCACTACGCACACGGAGTGCGTGTGTAAAGTGCGCATACATAGCCAAACGCCTGAACAGTTACAGACCGAAATCATGCTCAAATAGGAGGCCTGTAGATCACATAAAAAAAAAGTTCCATTTCTAGCTCGATTAACGAACTTTTCCTCCAAGAAATATTTGGGTCCGATAATTTGAATATATAGCCCTATGTTTTCAGCTCGAAGTCGATAAATAGTCAGTTTAAATATGACCTAATTCCAGCCAGGAACTGAAAAAGTTCCAGCCGGATATTAGTGCACTTCGAGCGAAATTGTCGAAGCACAAGTCTTTCTAGTTGGACTAATTTTTAGTTTAAAAGTCTGGCAGGAAATGAAACTAAACCTATATCCCAGTGACAGTCGCCTTACGGGAACAGGTTGCTATTCTGGGCATTGCCTCTTTCGGCAGTTACAATACAACGATTATATGAACCAATCACAGTGGCCGTAACATCACGCTGGGCTAACCAGGGCGGATAAAAGAGCAGTACCGATAAGTTGGAGGAATTAGCGTTCAGAGTGACAACCGAGCAGTGTTATCATAGGCGTTGCCATGTACTGCCATGTCGCAACCCTCTGACTGGCTGATAAAGATGACGTCGCTCCCGAGTCCCTTAAACTGCGCATCATTACATAATTTCACAGTGCAGAGGAACATAAATTGAAATGTCAATTAAAAACCACCTTGAAGTGTTTTTCCATAACCAAATAGCTTTGATAAATAAGTACGCACTGCCACTAGAATACTCGGCCAACTACCCTCAGCTAAATTTAAGTGTTTTCTTTGCGGATGTATTTTTGCAACACACTCTTCATTAGATTCTGAGACCAGAACCCTGTGGGAGAAATGTATTGATATTTAAAAAACTCCTGATGGACAAAAGAAACAAATAAATACAATAAGAGTAAATAACACACTACCGACCCTATAGACTGGCACAGGGTGAACATGGAAGAAACCAAGCCGTTGGTGGCGATGCTACGCTCGAAACCCCGGTTCCTGAAACAAATAACAATACACAGATGACTGCAGCGATTATCTCTTTCTTTTTTAAATGTATGTACTCAAATACATTACAGTGGTGGCGTTCAGAAGAGTGACTCCTATCAGAAGAGTGACCTCCTGTATAGCCAAGTACCACTTGTGTCGAAGGCTGCTAGGCACATAGTTGCATAAAACACCTCGCAACTAACTGCGAATCAGTGAAGGAGATATAAAGCATAAAGGTGACTTATTGGTGCTACTTTATCATAAAAATAAATTGAAAGACAACACAATAAAGGGCATCAACAAGAAAAGGGGACCGAAAGACGCGCTTGCAAAATAGCAAAGAAGAGGTTTTAAAAGGGGCACTTGTAAAAAAGGGGTTCTTGAAAAGGGCAAAAGAGGCGTTGCAAAAAAGTCATTTGCAGAAAGGAAAGTGAGGTAGTGCAAAACAGGCACTTGCAAAAGTTGAAGGAAGGAGTTGCAAAAGGGGCACTTTAAAAGGGGCAATTAAGGGGATGCAAAAGGACTGCTTATCAAAGAAAGATGAGAGTTTGCAAAAGAGGTGCCATCAGAAGGGCAGGCGGGCTTCAAAAGGAACGCTTGCAAAAATGGTATGAGAGGCGGTGCAAGAGAAGGTACTTGCAAAAGGGCAAGACAGGGGGTGAAAAATGGCCACTTGCAGGGATCTATCAAACTTTTAAGCAGGAAATTGCCAAGGAAAGGATCTATGATAATACTCGGGGTAGTTTTCTACTGTTTGAGGCCCTGACGGGAGTATTGCGAACCAAGACATATCGGGCCAAATACGAAGGGGTAGAGACGGTATGCAGTACGTGTGGAGAGGAGGAAGAAACTGTTGAACCCTTGATACTGTTCTTTAAAGGGCTTCACCCTATAGTTTTATAGGGTGAAGCCCTATAAAAACTCTGCGCCATCATCCTGAACTATAGGGCATCACCCTATAGTTCAGGATGATGGCGCAGAGTTTTTCAAAGCACTGGTATTTAGGGACAGAGGGTGCAAAATAGACATTAAGCGGGTAGAAATAACTAGAAGGAGGTTATTTGATTGGTGGTTAAATCAAGGCACGAGTGAAAACTAAACCCTTTACTGCAAGGTACCAGTCTTCAACTTCACTATTTTAAAAGAAAAAAAAAAGATACATCTAGTTTTGGTTCTCTAAGTATTACGGCTAGGTGGCGTTAGCCACCGCCCGATCTGAAGGGTGCAGCCATATCAATCCTTCCATCCATTCATGCAAAAGGTCAGGTGAAGGGGTGAAAATGAGGCCTTTTCAAAAGAGGAAGAGAAAGGGAAGCAAAAGGGGTGCTTGGAAAAGGGCAAGGAAGGTGGTGAAAAAGGGGCACTTGCAAAAGGGCAAAAGAGAGGTTGCAAAAGGGTTGTTTGCATATAGCATGGGAAGGGGCCGCAGCAGGGATGCTTGCAAAAGGGCAAGGCAGGTGGTGCAAAAGGGCTGCTTGAGAAAAGCGCAACTGAGGGGGGGCCAAAAGAAGATGCTTGCAGTTATGCGACAAGCTTGAATTTATTGCTCCATAGTTCAGTCATGAACTTCTGTGTTCAGGTAGGACAACCTCTCAACGAAAATTTTTATCTGTCTAGCGTTCCCATGCCCATGCATGCTACTGTAGTAGATCAGCCGAGCGCTTCTGAAGTGTTATTTTCCTTTTGTGCCAGCATGCCCTATGGCAGTAAACAACTTGACACAACTCTGTTTTCTGGTCGAATTCTACAAGCGTTTGATGCAGTTTATGAATTGTGGATCCATTAAAAAACAGCATCCACCGGCAATGTAAATTATTGAGGGATTTAGGTTCCAGCACTAGGATATGATTACGAGAGATGCCGTTGTGAAGGGCTCCGGAAATTTCTATCTGGCGTTCTTTAATATGCACTGACATTTCACAGTACAGGGGCCTCAACCCTTCCGCTTCTTCCGAAATGTGACTGCCGCAGCCGGGATCGAACCAGCGATTTTCGGGTCAGTAGCTGAGCACCCTAGCCACTGACCAACGATGATGGACCACCGAATGTTGAGCACAAGGAGAGGCTCCGATATATTACAGAATGTGCGTCAGAGTATTATATAGTCGGCACTTAGTAAATTAAAATACCACAGTTAAGAAAAGATAAGCTTGTAACACCATTTGCTGACACTAACCGTGCTATTGTATTGTACAAACACCGGTTGTGTTTTTGCCTGTTGCCTCACATGCAACTTCACTGCAGATATGCAAGTCATACTTGGGACCAACACGAGATTACCTTTTAAAGGCCGTATCGGCTAAGTGCGGCTGGCAAGCGCAGGAGTGTTCATGTTACCAAAAGCTCAAGCGGAAAACTATCTTTGACAATTCGATGGCTCTCGTCCACATTAGTGCATTACAAGTAATTGAATAAATATGAATTCTGTGTTCCAGCTCTTGTTTTAATATATATGAAAGGTGTCGGCATGCGCTTATATATACGCACACTACATAACTGCTATATGCGATGCATATCCGTCCGGTAATGCTAACGCTACCCAAAGTTCATCTTTTAAATGCGAGTGCATTTCTTAGTAGGGGCATGTCATGTGTCTGTAGGTGTCCGCCCGCCAGCAGCTGTTATCTCTCCCCTCTCACTACCTCTTCCATAGCAACAGCTGTGGGCGCACCCTAGCATCCTCGCCCCGAGCAAATGGAGCAGGTGGTGCGGTAGAAGTAGCAAAGAGTGAGCGGAAAGGAGAAGCGCACTCTGGTGTGGGAGGGCGCTCGCATCGCCTGAGCTCAGCAGAGCTCCCATGTGTGTGGAGTGCATGTAGGAGAGGGTAGGTGCAGTGCTTTACCGCTCCTCCTCTCGCAGTTCACTCTCTCTCCTCTCTCCCCCCACTCTCCCATTTCCTCACTCGTACATCACAATCAAACATTCGCTGGCTGATGAATTTGTAAATAAATTTCATGCCTAGAGATAAATGACTCAGGATGTAAAAAGTAGTCAAGACGCGGCGACGTGGTTTTTCCGTTTCATGCTCTCACTGGTCCTACAGCACTAACGAGCAGAAGGCAAACGAAAAGCCAGCTCGCTCGGTGCGCACACTTTTTTCATAGTGCTCCATGCGCCCGTGAGGTGCTCTGGGATTGTTATAATAGAGATACTGTATATGCTACCTTTAGGTAGCATATACAGTATCTCTATTTATTTATATCTATTTACAGTATCTCTATTATACAGTATCTGATGATGATGATGGTAGATTTTAGTGGCGCAAGGGCAACTCAGGCCAAAGAGTGCCAAACACACGGTTTTTGGTCGATTCGATTATAAAAAGTCTACTCAGGGTGGCAAGAGTAAAAGAGTAGTGTATAGAACTTAAACTTAGGTGTAGTGACTATGTGTGATGGGTTTAAAGCGGGCTACGCTTATGGGTTTTACAAAGTCATGCCGTGTGGTCAACAGTCCTTGTCAAGACAACGAGTGCGTGCTGGATGACATTTGATAAAAAAGTCTCAGCGGTTCCCTCAGGATTGAGAGGAGGCTGAGATTAGTGAGAATATGTTATGGAATGTAGGAAGCCTACACTAGCTAAAAACTTTAAGACTACTTTTGGGGGAAACAAGGGATCGTCTCCAAGAAAAAATTGTGGATGAGGCGGAATGTGACATTTGTACAGCTTTGAAAAGTGACACAGTCTTTCTGGTTCGAGGTACGGACAGGTAATTAGAACGTGAACGACAGACAGCTCATCACCACATTTTGCACAATGTGGTGCTGGAGAATTCTTTAAAAGGTGCGAGTGTGTTGCATGTGTATGACCAATCCTGAGTCTGCACAGTGCAACCTCTTGGTGCCTGTTACGTTTTTCAGTCAGATATCTTCCTATTCTTGGCTTTACTAAGTGCAGTTTGTTTGCGTTTGCTGCATTCCATTCTTCTTGCCATTGTCTACGCATTTGGGATATGATGAGTGGCCTCAGGTCCTCATACGGGATGGTGTTTACGTCAACTGATGGGCGGAGTGCTGCTGACTTCGCAAGTTTGTCCGCTATCTCATTGCCAGCAATGTTGCAGTGTCCCGGAATCCAGCATAGCGTGATTTTGAGCTTAGATTTGCGGGCTGACATGATGCATTTTCGAAGTGTATTAGTAACTGGGTTTTTGAGTATCTTAGTGGAGGACAGCGCAGTCACAGCACTGAGAGAATCTGTGTATATGATCGAGGCTGGCTCTTTCTCCTTTAAAATGTGCGTTACAGCTAAAAGTATGCCATAGCATTCTGCAGTAAATATACTGGTATGTTCGTTCATTGTTCTAGATTCAGAGAAAGCGGGACCGTGTGCCGCACATGCGACTGCGGAGGACTTGGAGGCATCAGTATAATATTCAGCACACCTGTATTTGGCCTGCAGGTACTTGAAGTGTTGATCGATCGCGACTGGGCGGCCATTTTTTCCTACCTCTAGGAATGACAAGTCACAATCGATAGCCTGCATTTCCCATGGCACAACAGTGTCCTTGTGAGAGGTTAGTTGAAGACTGGAGACCGGTATGTGCATATTTCTAAGGTGTGAGGCCACTCTGAGGGGATACGGTGGCATAGCTGATGGTCGCCTCAAAAACAGGGGGGCGTTCGATGTATCCTGCAATAGCGCACGAGCTGGTTGGTCGATATGGGAAAGCACCTTGGTGGCATACGTGACACTTGTAAACTGACGTCGCCGTTCTAGTGACCACCGGTCTGTCTCAACATACAGGCTGGCTGTTGGGCTGGTCCGGAAAGCACCGCTGGCCAGCCGAAGCCCAAGATGGTGCACTGGGTCAAGCATCTTCAATGCAGATCTTGAAGCTGATTCGTAAACCACCGAGCCGTAATCGATACGTAATAGCACTACACTGTTGAGAAGGTTCAGCAGACAGTCACGGTCTGTGCCCCATGACTGATGTGAGAGAATCTTGAGCAGGTTTAAGGCTTTCAAGCATTTAAGTCGTAGCTGTTTGATATGTGCAACAAAGCTGAGCTTTTCATCAACCACAACACCTAAAAATTTGTGATCTTTTTTGGTAGTTATGGTTTGTCTGTTAATTGAAATATTGGGGGGTGGCCTTATGCCACGTAGTTTTGCGAAGAGTACGCAAACAGTCTTGTCACAGTTAAACTTAAACCCATTTTTGTCTGCCCAGCTTGACAGCTTGTTTACTGCCAACTGAATCTGACGTTCACATGTGGCTAGGTCGCATGATTTGAAGCTGATCTGAATGTCATCCACATATACAGAGTAGGAGATTGTTCTAGGCATAATGGTGCTTATGGAGTTCATTTTTACGATGAATAGTGTGCAGCTAAGAACACCACCCTGGGGGACGCCATTTTCTTGTGTAAACCACTTCGATAAGGCATTACCAACACGGACCACAAATGTACGGTCAGAAAGGTAGCTTTCAATAGTATTCAGCATGTTTCCTGACACTCCAAAAGATCGCCGGTCACGGAGAATGCCATAACGCCATGTCGTGTCGTAAGCTTTCTTCAAGTCAAAAAATACAGATAGGCAGTGCTGTTTATGAATGAAGGCATCCCTGACATAGGATTCAAATGCTACCAGTTGGTCAGTTGTCGACCGGCCATACCTGAATCCAGCTTGATGACGATCAAGGAGGCCATTGTATTCAAGGTAATACATAAGGCGGCGATTCACCATTTTTTCGAACACCTTGCCCAAACAGCTGGTCAGCGCTATAGGCCTGTAACTAGCAGCAAGTGTGGCTTCTTTTCCTTGTTTAAGGATGGGTATGATAACTGCCTTTTTCCAGGTCATGGGCAGACGCCCAGAGGACCATACACTGTTGAAAAGAATGAGGATGACGTCAAGCGTTTCTTCGTGTAGGTGTTTCAGCATGCCGTAAGTAATCCTGTCCGAGCCAGCTGCTGAGCTGCCGCACTCTGCCAGTGCTGCCTTTAGTTCACCTATAGTAAAGGGGGCATTGTACCCTCCCGCTGATGGCCTGTCATCACGAATAGGTTTACGTTCCTCGGCAAGTTTGTATCGCCTAAAGGAGTCTGTATAATGTGCTGAGCTGAAAATATACTCGAAGCGTTGGCCTAAGGCATCTGCCTGGTGTTCAAGTGTATCACCAGCAGTACTAACAAGGGGCATCGAATGAGTGCTGTGCCCTTGGAGTGCTCTTACTCTGTTAAAGACCTTATGTGTGTCAGTGTAAGAGTTCACGGATGAGAGGAAGGATTGCCAGCTCTGTCGTTTAGACTCTCGTCGGACACGTCTACCGTTTGCTTTTGCATGCTTAAAATTCACCAAGTTTTCGACTGTAGGATACCTGCGGAATTTAGACCATGCTTTGTTTTGATTGTCACGAGCATTTTTGCACTCAGAGTTCCACCAAGGTCGTCTTTTGTTCCGTGTATTGTTAGATGTATGTGGGATGGATTGCTCTGCGGCCTGTACAATGTGTAGTGTGACCAACGCTTCAGATTCATCGATGCCTAGGGTTTCATTTGATGAGCGCGATAGTTTTGAGAGTTTTCGGAATTTCGTCCAGTTCGCACCCTGTTCTCGAAACCTGGTTACATTCACAGTCATTGTACTCGTATTTCCTTTGCATTTTAGACAAACAGGAAAATGATCACTTCCATAGAGGTTATGAATTACAGCCCATTCAGTGGTTGCCAAGAGTGAAGGAGATCCGATAGCAAGATCTATTGCTGTGTATGAGTAGTGCGCTGCGTTAAAGTATGTTGGCTCTTTTTTATTAAATATACAGGAGCCGGAGGACAACAGAAAGTTTTCAATTAAGGAGCCTCGAGAATCCGTTCTTCTACATCCCCATGAAGGGTGGTGCGCGTTAAAATCTCCGACCAACAGAAATGGATGCGGAAGCTGGTCGATGAGCGTTTCAAATTCTTTAGTAGAGAGTTGGTGGTCTGGAGGGATGTATAGTGAACACACGGTTGTTACTCGTCCAAAAATTAGGGTTCGTATTTCCACTGCTTCTAAGTCAGTAACCAGAGTGAGGCTTTGAGACGGAACTGCTTTCTGCACCACGATAGCGACACCACCAGATGAATGGGAAGTGCCCTTTCTGTCCTTTCGGTATACCATATATCTTTTCAAAAGGCTAGTGTGTGTAGGTTTTAGGTGTGTTTCCTGTAAGCAAAGTATGTTTGGTTGGTGTTGTGCAAATATTTCATAGATGTCGTCTAAGTTCTTAAGTAAGCCTTGGCAATTCCATTGGATAATATTTTCGGCAGCCATTTTTATGAATGAGGAAAAGAGCGCGACTTATTCACACTTCGCTGCCTTTATTAGGAGGCTTAACTGGCGGGTGTCTTTTCCCTCTGAGGCGATCTATGGAGCCCCGCCTCACTTGGGAGGATTCCGTCAGCATCTTAGACGCTGAGGATCCTGGTGTCACTTCCATTGCCTCCGGTGGACCCTCAGAAGCTAATGGAGGTTTGTCAGAAGAGACAGGTGTCTCAGTTGTCTGTGTGGTCCCTGGAGTCTGATGAAGTTCGACCTCCGGGACGTGAAAGGTTGGTGCAGCCTGTGGCTGCTTGGTGGGGGGCAGAGATGTGCACGCATCAGCAAAGCTGTATTGCGTGCCCACCGTCACTAGACGCCGCCCGGCCCCCCGGCGCGCTGCGTCAGCGTACGTTCTTCCGGAGAAGAGTGACACCTTCTTCCGGGCTTCAGAGAATGTTATGTTTTCCATTACTTTAATCTGGATGATTTCCTTTTCTTTTTTGAAAATTTCACATGTCCGCGAGTACGCTGCGTGCGGCCCGTGACAGTTAGGGCACTCTGTTTGCGTGGAAGTACAGCTCTCTGTTGGGTGCTCATGATCACCACATTTTGCACATGTTTGTTTTCCGCGACAGGTATTCGACCCATGTCCATATTTCTGGCATTTGTAGCACCTTCTAGGGTTGGGTATGTAGGGGCGGACCTTGCAGTGAAGGAACGCAGCTTTCACGGATTCTGGCAGAGTGGAGCGGTTGAATGTAAGTACTATATGAGGCGTCACCACTTCTTCATTGTTTCGCCTAATGGTTATCCGGCGGATGGCGACTACGCCTTGCTCTCGAAAGCCTTCAAGGAGGTCAGCTTCAGTTTCTCGCATCAGATCACGTTGTGAAATGATGCCTTGAATAGTGTTAAGGCTGTGATGGGGGGTGATAGACACATTCAGGTGGGCAAACTGCTTCTGTTTAAGGAGAGTGTTTGCATGCTCTTTCTGGCTTACTTCAACAAGAAGATCACCGGATGACAGTTTCTTTGCGTCGTACTTTTTGCCTATTGAGTTAGCAAGGGTTTTAGCTATCAGGAAAACCGACAGTCCTGCAACAGAGACGTTATCTGCCAGAGAGTGTATGACTAGGAAGCGTGGGAAGTGCTCACAATCGCTTCCGGTTCGTTTGGAGCTTTCATCGGTGCGGTTCCTTTTCAGGGACCGATCATTGAGGGGGGGGAAAGATTTTGCAATGTGGTGGACTTCATGTTCGGCGGCGATAGTGACCACCCACCACCGAGCCCAACAGGGGGACGCTACAAGGTAGAACACTTGAAGGCGCCAGTCATACATCGCCGCTATAACCAGATATAACTACCCAATGTTGGGTAACTACACAAGGTTAACCCTTGCCGCCAGGAAATTTGGAAGTAAACAGAAGAGAGTAGAAGACAGGACAGATAGATAGTGAGAAATAAAGATGAAGATGTAGGCAGAGAGAGATAGGAAAAGGCGACTGCCGATTTCCCCTGGGTGGGTCAGCCCAGGGGTGCCGTCTACGTAAAGCCGGGGCCAAAGGGGTGTGTTGCCTCTGCCGGGGGGCCTTAAAGGTCCAATCACCCAGCGTCAGCTCAACCCCCAGGATCCCCTTTTCCCCGGACACGGCAAAGCCACGCACGGCTAGGCGTGGGAGGGAGGCGAAACTCCCCCGTTAGCTCGGGTCCGTGGTGTCGCTACACACCAAACGCCTACTTGCGCAGGCGCCCCTGCGGGGATTATACAGTATCTCTAGGTAGAATATCATATACAGTAACTCAAGGTAGGGAACATATACAGTAACTCAATTTAGAAAAAAAGGTCTACTTATCGAAGCCAGTGTGTAGAAGTTTAAACGTACACAGAAGCGAATTAAATAATTAATTGGTTTAGGGGTGTCGAGTGTACTTCAAAAACTCTAATGCCTTCAATTTCATCATCCTAGGTTCAGTAATGTTGGAGAAAATCAAGCTCACAGGGTCATCTTGAAATTTCACGCTAACATCATTGAGCCTGAACTCGTGGATTTTAAGGTATTTTTCGTATGTTTTTAAAACAGGCTCAACAAAATTTCCCAATATTTATTAGGTTGAATCTACGGAATTCTCAGAGGAAAACATATTTGATCCTAACCGATTAAAAAATATGCAGAAACTGGCCAATCTCGTTCAAATCTACGATGTCACAAAGTTCGGTGCATGAGTGCCCACCAGCATTTTCTTTTCGCGTGTGTTGTCGCTCATCAAGCGTCTTCTCGTGATAAGGGTGGTGCTGTTAAAATTGCGAAGCAGTAATCTTTGTGGAAGAATTTAGTAATCACGGAAGAATAAAGACTCACAGCGTGTACTCGAGGGTCGCGATGAATGCACAGATGGAGGCTCCACCGATTCCGATGCCAAAGAAGGCCATGGACACCAGGACCAGCCAAAGCTTGCTGCATAATGGAAAGGTTGTTATTTGAAACTGCAGTACAGGTATCGAAAATTTGCAGATGCACTTACGAGAAAGCATAGGCCTAATGCAGACAGGTTTGCCCTGGACTCTTCCAGAATATTAACCAGGTCTAATGCAATATAGCATTGTAAGGAATTCAAGCATGCGGTCTTCTTGTGTAGGCGTTGGTCCCGGGTTCAAGTACTGGTGCAAGGACGAACATTTCATCCAAAGCATAGCTTTTTGTGTACTAAGTGATGAAATTTGTATGCCTGTCCTTCTGAAGAACTGATTTGCAATATCCAACATAGTAACGTTACATTTGCACTTGCGAACTTCAACATAAGATCAAAATTACTTGTAAAAGATCCAACAAGCAACGGCCGATATTCGGGGCTCTGTTTATTTCTAAAGAAGGGGAGAGACTGTAATTACTTGCTATCATCCTGCATAACAGATAGAAGGTTTTCTTCGATGAAAACATCGAATGAATGTCATTTATGTGCTGCACTTGCACATATACCATCGTGAGCGCTTGAACGGTGTTGGTATGTGCCTGTCCTACATGTACTCCCTTTTTTTATTGAAAGAAAAATATAACCAAGGGGTTGTCACCATCACTTGGCGATGGCTACCTCTTTCCACTTAATTTTTATGTAAAAAGTACTAAAAAAACAAAATACTAGCATATACAAGATATACAGTCCTACATGGGCGAGTCCGAAAATTCTCATTTGGACAGAACAAACACATGTTCAATGCATTGCAATGTTCAATGCATTCACATGTTCAATGCATGTTCGAGTCATGTACAGCCTGCTTCAGAAGTTTATGAACCACATGGCCCAAAAGACAAGCTTAATATTTGTATTGCTTCTGCAGGCAGCTTTAAAATGAGATTTCCGGCCTATCCTAAAGTGTGCTAACAACATGCACTATGAAATTAAACCGAATGCAATCACAGAATGTGGAAAAATTCAAATTCAAAGTTTTTTCAGTAACCTCTGAACTTTTGACACCGACTCCACGTGCGTTAGTTTACATTGGCCCATCGAAGTGTATTGGTTGATAGATACTCATTTTGAACAATGACACAAAGGTAAAATAACACGAAGATGAGAGGACACAGATGCAGCGCTGACTAATAATATTTCATTGTTTTTACGTCAACATATACAGGACAAACAAAAACAGAATGCACAACAAGGAACAGTGTATTGCGGTATACAATGCAAGGGGAGAATGTTGTGTCAGTGTGGCTTCGCTCTCACTCTGCGAATAATAAATCGTACATGTACTTATCAAAACTGTGACTGCATTGTATACAAAGATATTTTGTTTGCTCATATGCATACTGACAGTGTTGTTTTTTATTGGCATATTGGGGAACATAATAGAATATGATTGTTGGACAGCATCGCATTTATGGGTCTTTGGTCTTGTACTAGCACTGTTTCATCGTACAAACTAAGTTTACATTGGATCATGAACTAGTATATTACTTTATGAAGCTACAAGTTCACCTATTCAAACTGACAGTGTTTGTACTTATAGTCCCTTTAACTTAGTCTATAATGTACCTATACTGTACTCACGTTTCAAATGGAAAGAAGGGCACCGGACCGACCAGCAGCAGATACAACAGTGTGAAGTACGCGCCGAGAGACGTCAGGAGTTTCGTGTTCACCTGCCGGGGAGAAATAAGGAGCCAAAATATCTTTTAATGCCTCAACTCTACGAGGGACAAAGTCGTAAAAAAACAGAAGAGTATATATGACAGAAAATGCGAGATCGATGCCTTAGTATAACCTTTAACTACCTTTAGTAATATACCTCTAATTATCTTTACACCTTTGGCCATCAATACGCAAGTGAGACACGGTGGGCCTCACTGAAACTTTTACCGAGTGTCCAGCCTCTTACCATTGCGCTAGAGTGTCTACTGAGGTAAAGCCACAAGGTTGTGTATGGCTGGCCTACAGTTAGTACTCGAAGTAATGCGACCTCCGTTTACTAATGCTAAATAAGAATTTCTGGAGTTTTACGTCTCAAAACCTTGACATCATTATAAGTGGCACAGTCGTCGAGTGCTCCAGAATTTTCGATCACCTGGTGTTTTGCAACGACCACCTATGTCGAAACATGCAGGTCTCTAGCAATTCACTTCGATCGAAATACGGTCGTCATGATAGGTTAGCTGTTGAGCGTCGTAAGCACTAAAGAAGCTCTAGAGTGTGCCGTGTTTGGTTTTCATCCTAATGTGCTATCGTTTTCCACGCACCGCCGTTATGACAAGGAGCGTCTATGTGTGCCAATGTCGGCTACTCTGTCATCGAAATTAACATGATTAGAGGTGATTAAAGTAATTTTAAATATTTTGCTCGGCATTCACCATCACATTACCATCGATTTTCAAAAGTGTCTCGTAACATATAGGTACAAAAAAAATCAAGGATTTCAAGCACGATTTATACCACGTTGTGTCGCGAGCTCACCTTCTTGTCACACAGCCAGCCCCACACGGGAGTCATGAGACCGTTGCAGATGCCGGGAATCATAAAGACGAGTCCCAGCACTGTCGTGGAAAGCTTGAACTGTAATTAAAGGTACCGTGAAAGGCAATGCTTTATTGAAAGCTCGGGCCCCACGAGCCTAAGGTTTATTGTCATTATCTTTTAATTTAGAACATACTGTGGTCGTCCAAGACCTGGCAGGTGAGGAACAGAACGATAAAGATACCAGATTTTTGAAGAAGCAGCGCACAGGATACGAAAACATGCTCACATTACATTGCATATAACGTCACAGTACATATTATATATTACACATTATATCATAGTGCATATTAAGCAATAAATATACAAAACAGAAAGCAATTGACAGCTCAACATGGCGGCACTCAAATAACAGGCATGCAGATGGGGGGCGGAGGGGGCAGGGAGGCGAGAAGAGAGCGGTGCTAAGTCAGCCCCATACATTGGCATTATAAGAAGGAGGGTGCTGCAATGAATCTTAACCCCCTACCTGAATGGGGAACCCCTCGCTCCCCTATGCTCAAAACCATCTGTAAAATAGTACGTAGGTGGCGTTGCTTTGGCGCGCATTTGTACGTACGGGCTCCAGGTGAGGTTGAAGCGTCGCCTGGTTGAAGCCGACACAGACATAGCTCCCGAAGATGGCCACCGCGTACATGTAGATCAGGGGCCCGCTCCAGAACTTGCGCAGGTCGGTCGGGGTGCTCTCATGCTTGTCCTCTGCCACCGGGGAAGCGAACATTAAGCGATTTGCAACAAACCTTATTGCTACACTGGTTGACGATTAAGAACTAATTTATCACCAGTAAGTATTTGTTAGCATCACCTACCATTGCTATGTTACTATCATTGCTATCATTGTAGAATTCTTGCTACAAAACCACTTATCAGTTATGAGATAAGCGCTTAGTGGTAGGCTTCGAAAACATTGACTCTCCGGTGCTCTTTAAAGTACACCTCAATCTGAGTACACGGGCTTCAAGCACTTCGCTTCCATCAAAATGCGGTCGCCGCAGCCGGGATTCGATCTCGCCACCTTCAGGTTGATTGATATGTGGGGTTTAACATCCGAAAACCACTATGTGATTGATTATGAGAGAAACCGAGTGGAAGGCTCCCGAAATTTCGACCACCTGGGGTTGCTTAGCGTGCACCCAAATCTGTGCACACTGGTCACCACAGGCAATTATAACACTGCCATTATCCTAACACTACATAACTATATTATAAACTACATCTTGTCGACTGTATCATTCTAAGGAACGAGACTCAGACAAAGCACCCATTCAATGGGTCGGCTGTTCTTTAAATTATCCGACTTCATTCTTCCCACTCACCTTGCTCACGCCAGTACAGCAACGCCGATCTTGCTTCCTTACAAAAGAAAGAACAGCGTAACTGAAATGCCAAAACCTTCCACTGTATGTTCAATACTTATGGTGCTGAAATGCTGACCCAATGGAAGCGGTATCAAGTATACTGGGTGTGCGTCGGAGAACGCCGGGTTGTCGAAATTGTTGAAGGCCTCCACTATGGCACCTCTCGTAATCAAAATGTGTCTTTGGGATGGGAAACACCAACAGTCATTATTATTATTATTATTATTATTATTATTATTATTGAAATGTTGACACTAATGCCACTTCGTACGAACATCGCGGAAGTACACTGGCATTGGAACAGGCACAGACAGTACACGGGACCCTGCAGCTCGTACTGATAAAGATCTCGCAAATCCTGCAGGCACATGCAAGAAGCCAATGCAGTCGTTGACCGGTCATGCACACTCGTTTTAGAGAGAGGGAAAGGGAAAGGAAAGGAGAGAGAGAGGAAATATGTGAAAATTGGAAGAAAAGAGTATAGGCAGCTGCATTATCATTGAACAATAGCTGTGACCACTGGCAATTTTTTTTCCTCTTAGTGTGTGTGCATCATCACTGATAAGCTACTGATAACGGGACCTGGTGCTGAGTACACGCTGAATCGGGACCAGCAGGAGACTCCACATAGACGACGGAGAAACGCGCACAATACATGACAGAAGAGACGAAAAGCACATACTTATCGCGGGTGACAATCTCTTGATAAAGAATACCACATTATCATCTTTCTGACACACGTTTAAAAAGACGTTGCGCTAGTGGTCGTGGGTAGAGCTGTGCGCGGGGCAGTTTTTCCGAGCAGGGAACCTGGGCCTGCCGACTGCATCGAAAGATCGCCTGAGCCCGACGTACAAGAGCAAAAGGCCGGACTCGGCCCATGCAGTCCGACCTTATGTAGGTTTGCTGCTGAGACAAGATGCCGATTTCTTTCCAGTAATCTGACTTTTTATTTTAACATAAATTTGTCTTGGCATATTCTTGTCATTACCCCACGCTACACAATCACTAACGAATATTTGTCTCTCGATTAACTGAAATCGAGGAGGAATAATCATAAACTCTATCTGACACCGTTCCATCCATGTACTTAACCTATTTAAATTCAGCTTCTTACCACGCACACTATAGAAAATGAAATATTTTGCCTGGATTAACCAGATCATTACCATTAGATGATTTCTTGAATGAATCGATTGGTTTGTGCTTTGTTTACTTAGAGTGCTATTTTTATTCTTTGTTTTTTTTTCCTTTGTCTTGCAGATCTGCATTACCTTTCTACTTGTGTGCTGCTGTAAAAAAAAAAGAAAAAAACGTACTCCTAAAAACATACTCCTAAAATAAAATAATTATCAAATTGGACAAACGACGTGCCAGTCATATGTTCCCAGATTACAAGATGTGTAAAAATAACAAGCTGCTCAATCAGTTGACTTCAGTGAAGTGGGCATTCTTGCGTCACATGCCGCCACTGACAAGTTCTGTTCGCTGCTCGCAGTGGCAGTCGCAATTGCCAATATATTTTTACATGCATAACAAGCTTGGGGTATTTGAACAGCTGGTTTTTGCAAAGTTACACCTCAGATGCAGGACAAAGGGATGCTCCTGTATGGTTAGATAATCCCAAAGCTCACCTTGAATGCTCATCACAACAGGCTGAAAAAAATTTTCTGGTACATCATTTATATTTTCGGGCATAATACGACCTTTGCACCAGCTCCTACACAACCGAGAAAAAAAAACTAATTATAGGCCGAGCCCTGCTCTAGATAAGAGGGCTTACCTGAGCCCATGCACACGTGTCTCTAGCCGAGGGTTCGAATTCCGGCCGTGGTGGCCGTATTACAATGGTTACAAAATGCAATAATAGCCTTGTAACTAGACACAGATAAACAGCAGCAGCATTATTATTATTACTAATATTATTAATATCTGGGGTTTCACATACCAAAACCACCATATGATGATAAGACATGCCATATCACTGAGGAATCGAACGTATTGCTCCAACTTATTGATTTTGAGCACCTGGGTGTTTTGTAACGCACGACTATGTATACACCTTATGCAAAATCTAGTGCTGTCCGTCTGTCTTTGTGTCTATCTCCCTCCCTGTCTCTCTCTTTCTCTGTCTGTCTGTTCGTCTACATGTCTCTGTCTGTTTGTCTGTCTGTCTGTTTGTCTACATGTCTCTGTCTGTCTGTCTGTGTCTGTCTGGGCGGTGCCAGCAAATGCCCCGCCATAGTCGTGGCATGAGTCAGCGATCCGACAAGCGACAGTCTGATAGTTGATGGCCCTGCAGCTCACTAAGCCATTTCCTTACAAAGAAATCAACATACCATGTGCTGCCGGGAACTTTGGTTGTGGTTTCTCATGATATGTTTTCGCGCGAGACCACAAGTATGATGGCTGCCGCACTAGCGCTCCTTGCGGATGACATACCGTGAATACCACCTATACTAAATGTACTTAGGAATATTGAAGCAATGATTACTCACCTATGCTGGGAATAACAATGTATGTCACCGCATTACAGAAGAACCCGATGCTACCACAGACGACAAATGGTGTCGTGAAGCCACCCACTCTGAAAAAAAAAAAATTCGAGATATCCTGTTATCACACAAACAATAATAAATACTTTAAATGTGCATGTTTACTTATGAAGTAGCACACGAAGACAAAGCACGAAAGGTGCACAAGGGAGACCACTGCTCCTTTTGTGCCTTTTTTTCCCCATTAGTGCGTTGTCTCTGTGTGCTGCTTCATAAGTAAACATGAACTACCACCAAACTCGCCCAACTTTTAACATTATTGAGATGCCCCTTTAGACGTAGACACGAGAGGTGACCTCATACATACTATTTTCTACATATATATGCACGATAAATACACAGATGAGAATAGTACAGAGCATATATTAATCAAGCAAAGTATGTTTTATAGTTGGTTACATTCATTCTTGAAGCAAAAACCTTGTTACTATTTCTTTTAATGGTGGAACTATTCTAGGGCAGGGACAGATGACAGACGATTGCCCACAGTCCACTTCGATTCCCTGAAACAACAGCAGATGGCTTAACACTTGCAGGTCGACACGTGCAGCGTGCTGTTCAAACACAAGGACGAACGCCCGAAGTCGAAGCACAAGTATACACTGGACGATCGTGAACTATCCCAACTGTTATTGCCATAAGCATGCACATGAAAGGAGGGGTGGAGAAAAAAGTACCCCCTCTCGTTGACATGATAGGTTAGGGGGGCGCTGCGGCAGACCGACTCCCCCACCCCACTTAGGGTGAACCTTGCACACGCTTATGGTGTCGTGACCGTAAACAGGTTTCACAATTGAGGTGTATAAAGACAACTGTTTAATAAGTGAATATGAGCTGTCTCATGCAGTGTTACATTTTGCCATGTGTGAACAATGAGACTAGCCCGCCGCCTTTGCGTGGGCTTTGCCGCCTCTTTCTGCGTTCTGATGTCCCGACGTGACTCCCCTCCTCCGTGGTCTGTCGTGCTGGGAGTAAGGGGAGCGACGTTTAACCCCTCTCACCCGGTAGCGGATGTCGACTGTGGCGCCGTGCAAAAAGTCTCTCGGGAAGTTTCGGGCGCACGTCGGGAGTGAGAGAGAATCTCTTCGGGACGGCAATAGGTACGCACGCATTTATTTTCCATCCGCGGGCTCTCTTTGTTTGGGGCTCATTCAGACTTTACCAACAGCGCCTTGTGCCCGCGGCGAATGCTTACCTTTTGTCGCCCCCCTTCCGAACGCTAGGCCGAAGAGTGGTGCGGTGTCCTACTGCATAATCAAACTACACCGACCCGTACCTCTTCGAAGCCAACACGAGCACCTTTTCTCTCGCTCGAGCAACCGGGTCCTTTGTTCCGGTGTCCCTAGTGAATCACCTTTGCCCACGGAGACATGCTCGCGGCACCCTGTGTAGTACTTATGACCCGTGGCGTGGATAAGCCCATTTGCTTTCCCGCTACGCCTTTTGCAACAGGCTCTGTTCTGCGTTTTAGGTGTTGCCGCAGACAATAAAGTGTTGCGACCTTGAGCAGTACCGTGTTCTTGCTACGGCGACAGTTAACGCGTGCCCTGCGGCTCGCTGAGACCAGGCCCACGCTAGTGGCCATACTTTTTCAAGATACGTGTACACTACACACGATATGCGGACACTGGTCCCTCGCGCACCGATCCAGCCGATTCCTGTTCGTGTGACTCCGTACACTTGATGCCCTCTCATTGCGCCCATGACTGGTTACTTCAACCAGCCGCTACTTTAACTGTTTTAGCTATAGTGGTTAGAAAAACCTTTCTAGCCACTATAGTTTAAGCTATAGCGGCACACCCCATTCTCAAATACGGCTGCTGCAGTGAGAAAAGTGTTCTTGTTGCGGTAAATAGCTCTAACGCAAACTTTGCGGGGAAAGCAGAAGACGTACAGAACTCCCCGTCAAGATATAAGCACGCGAGCAGGGGCTACTAGATTTGGTATGCCAAACTTGAAGTTTATTTTCACCACAAAGTTGCTCATTTACATTTCTTTAAACAGGTACAATGAGTGGTGCGCAATGTGAGAAAAAGCTGCAATAGAAACACAGCTTGACTAGCCCCACATCCCAACAAAACAAAGCAGAAAAAGTGACAGCATTCATAATGTCAACTAAACAAGTAAGCAGACTCAAATACATAGTTGAAAGTGGCACAATCCGAAATATTTCATAAAATAGAGAGGACTGCACTCTTAAAAAAAATTTTAAAAGTGGGAATAAGCAAAACACACAAAAATTTTTTTTTTCTCTTGCATCCCTTTCTTCCACCTCACCCCAAGCTCAACCGGGCACAGGCCACCACTTTGCGTTTACTTCAAACAAACACGTATCTCGCACCTGCCATCCTTCACCTCATATTCTCGGACGTGTACACAACCTCGCACTGCCGTGGCCGTAGCACTCACCCAATTATGCTTCCGCATATGCTGTGGGAGTGCCCGGCACAGTTCAGACACACTAACACCACGACCCTTTCGTTGAAGCTCCATGAGTCTCTGCGGAGCCCCGCTCTTCACGACCAAACCTGGGCGACCCAGCACGCCTGTGAGGTTGCATTGAGGCAAGCCCTTTACGTCGCCTCATGGGAGGCCTAGGCCCGGCCACCTAAACCTGCTGGTTCTTATAATAAAGTTTATTCCTCCTCCTCCTTCTCTTGCGTCATGTCACTAAAAATAGATTGCACATGTCCTGTCACAAAAAAAGGCACAATCCCTGCAAAGAAAAACCCAATTTATTTAGTATGTGTGGGAGTGAATGTTTCAGCATTCGGAGACCATAGCTTGTCCAACATCGAGGAACCTGCCAATGATTGCTCTGTTTAGTAGGTCGAGACGAACTGGGTACGACTCTTTCCGGGATTGGGAAAGAGGCGGTGTTTGACCCCCCATTTTGAGGGCGTAGATGAAGTTGATAATATCATTAAACTGTCTTGACCTCAACTATTTTCTTCTGCAAAGAATCTTGGAAACACCAGGGCTTAGAAGCCCGAGCATCATGACACTCCGGACAAGTTACGATCAAGCTTTCATGATGCTACCATCATCACAACACTAGCTTTAAAATGTAAATTCCTTAAATAAACATTCCTGTTATCAGCCCCAGCTACTCTACTCGACTTCTCCTGAGACTTGGCTGGCTCTGGTCTTATGGGTAGACCCCCGAATACATCACTACTCCTGACAGTGCCGGTTCGGAGCAGTGCGCACGTGCATACTGGCGGATACGCAGCTGAGCAGACGATGCAGCATTTCGTTGTATGTGTCATACCTGCCTCTACAAACATGGTATCTTTCGCCAAGATGTTTGCGTCCCATAAACTGTCCTGTGTTTCTCTGTGTGTGGCGTTCTGTACATTTTCATTATGCCATTAGCATGCTAGCGAACGAATCGAGGATGGCGTAATAGGCCAAGACAGCGCGCTGCAAAGCGAGCGGTCCACGGCTTTGAATTCCCTGGTCACTCGCTTCGAGAAATTTGTCTGGTGAATTATTTTTATTTGCGGCTTTTATGTATACACACATTTACAGGACATGATGGCAACGGCAAACATGTGCCAAAAGCATCTATATAAGTGCTATCGCAAAATAAAGGGGGTTGCTACTCACATCGAAAAGGATTCCACCAACGGTTGGCCCGATGATGACACCAACGCTGAAGGCGGTCTTCAGTGATGACTGCAAGAAAAGAGGTCATGTTAGAACAGGAGAAAAAAATACTATCTCCCCCTATAGGGTACTATGTGTAGATGCGAAGCAGTGGAAGCTAACGCTTACACTGGCAGCAGCGTTGGCGCTGGCTCTCAACACGGCGTTTCGCATGAGAGAAACCTGGGGAGGCTCAAAACACGCAGTGATAGTGTGGTATTTCCTACTGAAATATGTCAATCAGTGCTGATGGGCAATGAGAAACAGAAGACTTCAATTGGACAGAGAATAGTAGTCTACTTTCAGTTAATGCAGACGCTGTGAATCTTTATTGTTCAACAACACACAGGAAAAATCTCCCGCTGGCACTACCTTGGAGGTCAAGATCCAGCGCTTCTACAAGAATATACGGAGTGGCCAGTGAACGGTTGTGCAATGCGAGCAGTCACTTTTCTTTTTTTTTTTTTCAGCCAGAAAACTCGCTAGCAGACGCTGCATCTCACAAACACAAGGAATGAAAACACAAGGTTGTTTCAACATACAACCGTAACTGGACTTTTACAATGCGAGGAGACAGCGAGCTATCATTACTGTAGTCGCATGAACGTGCCTTGTTACATACCGATTCAGGTAGTCGAAACAAATGGCTTGAAGCGAATTGAGACAATTAATACGGAAGGTGAGCCAGAGCTAGAACTTAATTAGATGCAGAGTAGCTGTTTGACTAGCCTGTGTAATGCGGTCTGTCCGTGTTTCCGGGCCAATGTGCCGCATTGCGTTCCCCTCGCCGCAGTTGTTGGAACGTTGCCAAGTAGGTCAAGTCGCAGCTACGCGCTGACATCAATCTCTCCCTCAAACGCAGCAACTGCCGGCACTTCCCAAAACACGTAGGTGATATCGCTCCTCCGCTGCGCTCGCAACACACTTCTCGCTTGCTTCCTCCTCTCCACTGCCCCGAACACTCGACCACACGTCAAGTGGAAACACTCTTTTGGCTCGTTTATCTGCGATGAAACTTAAATGAAACCCAACCCGCCACCAGTGTCTTCGCATTTAAAAGAAACATTTACTCGAGTAAAGGCTACACTAAGTTTTGCTTCGAACCGTTCTTTCAGCACCCACATCGACGCCCGTTTCAGTCAAGTCAACGACGTGGGCACCGCTGCTGCTTCACTTCTCATCATGGTTTTCTTCAGAGAGACGGTATATAATTTTTTTCTTTTGACTGCGGTGATGCACGATTGTTTTCTTTGCCTCTCGTACGACTTGTCCGGCAACCAATACATTTACATGTGGGTAGCATGCCTTTACTGTTAGCATTCTTGTGACACAGAACAATACTTTGGACCTCGCTGGCACTTCCATGTGGTCACTTCTGCCATCGCGGAAAGGCAATGTTAAACAGCGAGCGTCTTGTTCCAGCGCACCAAGCTGACGGCACGGCGCCGAAGTTCCCCGCACTGACTCTAGAATGGGTGCTGCACGCGCTAACACCTACTAACACCAAATAGCCTGAGCCCTCTGCCGCGCATATCCCAAATTTCCCTGAGCTTGCCTCGAGAGCCGCAGCACGGCATTGTCGTTGCTGCGCAAACTTGATTTGATTGATATGTGGGGTTTAACATCCCAAGACCACCATATGATTATGAGAGACGCCGTAGTAGGGGGCTCCGGAAATTTCGACCACCTGGGGTTCTTTAGCTCTGCAAACTTGAGCTTTGGGTCCCTATACGCTGTATAACGAGGTGCAGGCATGCAAGGTGGTTGCTAACGTGCAGAGCTCAACGAGTTTCTGCAAAGTATCCAGTGCCCATTTTCAGCTTAATTAGAGAGCTCCTCCATTAAAATGGTAGGGTCTTTTTCGGCGTGTTAAGACGGCGTGACAGAGGAACTCATTATGTGTGCACTATTTTAACAAATTAGCTTTTGAAGCTTTTTGTTGCGCCGCGGCTAGGTCGTGCGAATAGGAATGATATTGGCCACACGTTAACATCATTCTTTTCTCAATCTTCTGTATCAATCTGACAAGCAATACTCAAGTGACTGAAAATCACATAACATCACGTAATATCAAATCACGTGAGTAAAATCGCCATAACCACCATACCACCAAAAACCTCCGTAACAAACCACGTGACAGAATCTCGTGACAACGAGTCACATGTAATGTCCCGCCAAAAGTCATGCGACTCAACTGTCTTCACGTAACAGCTAGACACGCGAGTAATATCACCAACATCACATGCTAGCCACGCGACGTGTTCTCGCCAAAACTATGTGACGAGTGAAACAGGAGAAGGCAACCGACCGAAACAAGAAATAGCCAAGCCTAGCCACGCTTATTACGACTAGCAAAAACTTGGCACCCCTAAGAAACGCTTAGAAAAAGCCATATGTCGAAACACTATAGCTCTGCTATTGGTTCTAGCCTTGCACCATTAGTGCAAGCTCCACCTTGCTCAGACCTCGCTCAGTGAGGTTCCGATCCCTTTATCATAGACTGATACGGCAATAAAACTGTTTACCGACTCGGAATCTTGCACGCCTATTTCGGTCGTTCAGCATGCAGCTTTCAAAGGAGTCGCCTATACAAACTTATTCCTTCGCTCAAGCTACAGCTACCATCGCGAATTTCACGCTTTGATGCGACGCTGTTATGCCCCTTTGGTTGGGTGTTGCATTCGCAAAAATCTACTCGTTTCGCAACAGTATGGCAGACACTTCTAGATGCGACTCCTGCAGAGCTGAAGAAACCATCGAACACGTTCGGTGCAGCTGATTGGCTATGACAACCAGTGATGCCCGCTCCGGATGGCATTGAACCAACTGTACTCTAGACCATTTTTTGTACAGGAGATTTTAGGCCCTTGGACGTCAAAGTCAAAATTTATTTCAACAGAGCGATTCTAAATAGTTTTCAGGGCTAAAAGCTGCTCGAGGCAGCTTGAGTTGAAGACCCTTTACAATTGGCAGCATACGAAGGTTAACAGTACAAAACGACTTGTAGGATCATACTTGAACATTCATGAGTAATGCTGTAAAAATTGCAATTTCAATTCCATCAAGCAATAGCAGCCGCTTACAGAGACTCATACTAGTGAGCTTTTGCATTTAAATGTTGAGTACAGCATAAATAACTTTGCATTACAAAAGGTATAGAAAGTACAGAAATTTTATGGAATTACAATATCATGTAATGATCAAAGACAGAAATATTGAAGTAGAAAAATGCAAATGGTAAGATAAGCAAAAGTTTGCATACTCAAGACATATAAATGCGAGGACTACAATATAGACGCGAAAATTCACGCAACTAAGTTTGGCATTATTCATTTAGGATGGGTGGCAGATTATAGTGCAATGCTTGTAAGTTGTATGTGGTTCGGTAATGAGGAACAAACCATGCTAAAATATGTCGCATATGTATGGCAGTGTCATTAAGTTTTAGGTGGGATATAGTTTCGAGGAATTTTTTTGTAAGTGTTGAAAAAGTAGAAAGCTTATAAAACCTGAATTCGTATAAGTGCTGAACCCGTGTGACAGTGTATTCTTGAAAGACGTGTTCTAGTTGAGGCCAGGTAGGGAATGTCTGCAATATTTTGAAGAATCTTCTTTTGCAGAAGCAAGATTATATTTAGGTTCTGCTTAGTTGTGGTGACCCAAACCAGGTTGTAGTAGTTCAGGTCGGATGCGAATAGCGGGTACATAGTATATTTGAAGTTTCACCTTTGTTGGGAGCAAACGTTGACATCGTGACAATGCTCAAGAAGTTGATGACAGTCTCTTACCCAGCTCTTCTACATGCTGAGTTCCAACTAATGTGAGAGTAAAAAGTAACTCCGAGTACTCTGTGTTCATCTACAACAGCAATGTTTTGACCTTCATATGAAATAGGGTCTAATAGTTGAGCTTCTATAATTCTTGCATAAAATATAACAATCTTAGTTTTTGTTGGTTTAATCTTTAGTTCGTTTAGGTTGGACTATGTTGACAGTATTTTTTTTTACAGTGTTTTATTTCATTCAGGGACAAGGACATATACACTACGTCCCGAAAACAGTATAGTGCTGTCGGCATATATGACAAATTTGGCTGATTTATCAATATTTGCGAGGTCATTTATATATAAATTGAATAATAGGGTGCTTGGATAGCACAGAAAGCAACTGAAGCAATACTGAACTACCTTAACACGAAAAATCTGAGTAAGCGCCTATGGTCTACATATGCTTCCCCAAATGTGCTCGCGACTGTGTGTATCTCTTTTCCCTTCTCCTTTTACGTCCTTCCTTTATCCGTTACCCCAGTATAGGGTAGCAGACCAGACGTGCATCTGGTTAACCGCTCTGCCTTTCCTTTCATCTCTCTTTTTCTTTCACTGGAAAAGCCACCTAAATGAACTTAACAAGGATTAGCCTCGTTGGTGTGTTATATTCATAAATGTGTGTGTTCTCTCTGTTCCACCCTTATCAATTCAGTGCCACACTTAACCTTATGAACACTTGAATGATTATTGGCATACTACGCGCACATTGGTTCGCATTAAAAAATACACAGTTTCCGAGGTAGCCTTTGTTGAGGAATGGAAACTACGGAATTTCACGTGGAAACGTTTGCATTCGTGGGGAAAAGAACACAATGGCTGTGCAGAGAAGTCCTGGGCGTGTGCGTGGGTTGAGGGGGTGGGGGTGCAAACATTGCTCTTGAAGCCACAGCTCCATTGTGCGATACGCACGGTCGTACGGGAAGCTAAAACGCTTAGCGGCACACAAGTGATAATCCCAAGTGGTTTCCATCTAGCCCTTGTTTGCCTCAAACAACGCCGCGGTTTGTTTGCTTCGGAGAACTGCTATACGCACTTGCTCGCTTGGCCGTTATTTTTTGTTGGCGAAGAAGGGTCCTCAACGTGTAGTAGATTATGACCAATGCACTCTGTAGATGGCTAATTAAGTGATGGTAAGTTGGGCGAGTTGGTAATATTGTCACACAAAAACAGACGGAAGCACAAAAGGAGAGAAAAAGACAGACAAATGCATGCAGCGGGTTTCCATCCTTTCATGTTACCGTCCGTTTCTTTCGCAGTTACATTATTAAGTGATTGCCAATGTAGTCACTTCTGCAACCAATAAGGAGGTATGGCACAATGTTGTACAGTGAGAGCGGGAAGGAGAAGAGACTTTCTTGAGGTACGCTCTTCGTTCCCCTTTATACTTTCACTCTGCTCCTCCTTACTCCATCTCGAGTTCTTCCCCTACATTTTTCCACATCTCCCAAGTGTCGCGGCTGTAGTGTCGTTGCCTGAGAGACAGTTAATGGGTCACTTAGCCCCCCTCTTCACCCTCTTTCATTTCAAGAATCTCTCTTCCCCGCCAAATGAACGGAGCCCCGGGCTACCTTATGGGCTGTCTTACCTCAAACCACTACCGCCCCTGCTATAAATGAGAAAAACCAATAGGCGGATACCTCCCCCCCACAAGCGAAAGCTATCTGCACCACGTTGTTGTTGGGCCTTCAGACTAGGCCCACCCATAACCAAGCTAGCAGTCATGTGACAGATATAGTCATGTTTTGAGAATATATTATCGCCGGGTGACGTCTCAGTTGTATCATGATGAAGTCACCACATGCTTTTTTCCCTATAATTCATTAACACGGTCACATCTCATGATTGATGGAGAACACTACACCTAGACACTATAACAACAAGGGTGTAGCCAGGGGATGGCACTCCGGGTCCATGCCCTCCCCCCGAAATTAATTTTGTCAAGCATAGCGCAAAATTAGCATTTGCCTCCCCCCCCCCCCCTTTTTGATCAAGAAGGTGCCCTCCCCGTCACAAGCATATATATATTTCTGCATGCAACCCTGCCTAACAAGATCAAGTGCGTCATCATGATGGACGGACGCTCACCAGGACAGTGCCGATGCGGCCCGGGAACTCGGACATGATAATGGTAGGCACTGGCCGTGATGTAGGCAGCCGCACCCAGACCCTCCATGATGCGGATGAGGAACGCCAGGGACACAAACGTGGCCCCGGCTGGAGCGTGGTTGACGAAAGCTGTTGAAAGTGAAGGACGTGTTCACTCGTCGACAAAACAAGATGGGGCTCACTCGAACTCACTCAAGCAAACTTACTCATGTGTCGACTCTCTGACTCAATTTGAGCCACGAGTCTGGATATGAGTGAGTCAGGCTGAGTAATATTTTAGTGAGTATGAATAAGGTTGAGTTCGGAATGGGTCAGCCCAGATGAGGAATATTTTGGCGAGTCGGGATTTCGAGCAAGCTCCAAGGGTGAAATATGTTTCATGAGTGAGCTTCATAACTTTCTTGCCAATCTGTGCGCTCAAGAAAAATGTTTTGCATTTAGGGCTCAATTGAACTCAGATTCATCAAAACTTTCTTTAATCAAGTTTACTCAGACTGACACTCGCTCATTTTTTTTTTTTCTAAATAAAACTTGCTCAGACTCAAACTCACCAAAACAGGAATCACCTCGACTCAAACTCGCAGTGAAAACTTAGTCTGAGTGAGTCTGATGTGAATACAATAATGAGCGAGTTTGCAGACACGAGAACATCTTCATTACAGACATTTAACACAGTGTAAGAGAGACCACGCAAGGGTCACACATGCATGTGTGAAATTAAAAATAAGAAATAAATGTTAAGGCCAAAGCCTCATATCACACATGCGTTAAAAAATTAGGCTTAGACAGCTTCAATATAAGCAGCAATCATCAGTGATGTCATGCCATTACATCATCAAGTGCAAGTGGATATGCTTTATACTCACCCGAAGAGAACGACGCAGAGGCAGGTAAGACTAAATCCTCCATTCAGCATGATGTTAGGTTTCACTATGGCTACCTGCAAAACAAAAAATTTACGCGTGACAAGGCGAGCCGAGTACTAGCAATGAAAGGTCTACGCTTCAACCAGGGCTGCCACATCCAGCTTTACAAGCGCTGGAGTTTGTACATTTTTACATCGCCCGTGACAGGCTGTGTATCCACTATACTTGTATATGCCAAGGAAGCGCCAGGATGGCAACGTTGAGCCCCTAAGATTGACCAGCTTCGCTGTTAAGTGCTTAGTAGTGTAAACATCTACATTTTTTTTTTTAAACAGAGATTCTCCCCAGGAAGTTCATGAAACGAGCTTACAGAAGACGGGATTACCCACCAGTTTTCCGTAAGCGGGAGCGATGAGGAAGATGGTGAAGTAGAAGGATGAAAAAATGAGCCCGTACTCCGTCGGGGAGGCGCCTTTTTCGGTTGCCTGCGAGAAATACGACACTATGCATGGTGGCCATAACAAGAATAGATTTCTAGCACGAACGTACTGTTGGCCGCAAAAGTTTGCGAGATCTCCTGCACGTGGCCGAGCGAGAAAAAACTGCATCGTGGCGTCACCTATAACGTGACACTGGCGGGTGTTGCTATTGAGGCTATCGGCCTCAGCAATCAGCAATGGAGCATTTTAGATAACGTGCTGTTTCCAGTAAAGGGAACTCTGGTGCTAGTGTTTATGGGAGTAAAGTAACTGTATATGGTTTACAGGACCATATACAGCTAGGACCATATACATGCACCATTACACAGTTACTCTATATGGAAACTGCAACCGACGCCTCCTAGTTGCTGCAACGTATGGCCCTTCAGCGAGCATGGGAACTATGGAGAGTAGACGGCTTTGCCTATAGTATTCATACTTTACGTTCCTTTTGGTGCGTGGCTTGAGGCTGCTTTGTCACGGAACAACAATCGACAAATGATCGGCAGTTGCGCTTCACCACCTTAATCTTTTAGGCTTACCATTTTAAATTTGGTAACGAAGTTCAACAGGGTTTGTTTCTTTCTTCGAAACAAAACCGAAGCCAGCAATGAACGAAGTCACTAGTGCGATTTGCCGCTCGCAAGTACAGAAACTAGGCAAATCCGTATACAACCCATCATTTCTATGGTCGCTGAACAATCACAGCGCCAGAGTTCTCTAGTTACTTTTAGGAAACTCTAAGGTTGCCGGATTATATCACGGAGGCGGCGGTCAATATTCTCAACACTAGCAACGTCGTTCTAGGTGAAGCAGCGATGCAGTTTTTTATCGCTTGGTCACGTGCCATGCCGTTGACCCTAAAAAGTTTTGCGGCCGACACTTAGGCACTACTCTGAAGATTCGCGATGCAGGTGCATAAAGCTCGGCGATAAAAGTTGGCACAGCGCCAAGAATGAGATAATAGCATAGTTGTGAGGGTGACATGATAGGTGGCAGTTAGTTTGCCTACGAATATATAAATATAAATATAAGCTGCACGCACAAAATTGAGATACACCCAATCCCAGACCCCAATTTTCCTTTAGTACCCTAAACCATCAAAAACGTCGAAACTTATTTGTGGTTACGTGGTTGCTTGGGCGAGTTGGTACGACATGATTCACATAAAAAAAAAACAGCCAATAACGAGGGACAAAAAAAGAAGGAGACAGACTGTGGCACTGACTTACAACAAGATTTATTTGCTGAAACCGTGTAATATATACTTGAGCATGCAGTTTATAACAAAAAAAGAAAAGACAAATCAAAGAAATTAGTATTCACCTAACTACTGAGTAGTCATCGTGATAACATGCCATGAACATCACGTGTGCCAACGTTTTCAAGAAAATTTTTTTTGTGATAGAGCAATCGAAAGCCTGCTAACACATGCACTGTCCAGCCTTTCTAATTCTGCAACCTCATAAATTTCGCGTATCATCTGTTCCCAATGATGCCTTATGACGGTACAATGCTGAAAGTCAGGGACACAACCATAGTCTTGGCAATGAATGCCGACGTGACCCGATACTGTAGAAGAGACGTGAGCGTGCTCTTCCAGCTGCTCATTTAAACATCTGCCTGTTTGGCCGGTGTGTTGCAGTTGTGCGTGAGTCTACAAACCCGTAGCCGTGAGAATTTTAAATGCAGAGCGTTTCTTAGCCGCACGATGTCGCGCTTCAGCGCCGTCCACACCCCACTGCGCATGATCGCGACTCGCGCTGCATGCTTCTGCTGAGACGCGCATGCTCGCATCTCAAGCCAGCCCAGGAAGACGCCCACTAAACTCGCTCCCCTCTCCCTCTCTCACCTCGCAAGGTCGACGCAGGCATAGTCTGCTAGAAGAAAAAATTACGGACCATCTCCCCGAAGGGAACCCTCCGTCAAATAAAGTTTTTACCAACACCACCACGATAGGATGCGAAGCAGCCATAGTGCACACGCCATTGACCCGGCTGAAACGGACATCGACGCGGATGCTGGAAGAACGGTTTGAAGCAAAATTTGGTGTAGGATTTACTCGAGTAAACGTTTGAAACGCAAAGACAGAGGGGATAAGTTTCGTGTAAGTTTCATAGCAGATAAACGAGCTGAAAGAGTGTTTCCACACGACGTGCGGCCGAGCGTTCCGGGCGGCGGAGAGGATGAAGCAAGCGAGAAGTGTGTTGCGAGCAGGCGGAGGAGCAATGTTGTGTTCTGGGTTTTCGGTTTCGAAATGACACGTGAGGATGCCAGGGACGCCGCTCTGGCACCTAGGATTTCAAGGCGACTGTAAAATAAAACGAGTGTGTGTTGGGTAACCGTGGAGTGCGGTTGTTCTTCTCTTCGGCGCTTCGCGCCTACCCGCGTGTTCGGGCTGGTCGGCGTCCCCGCCGGCCGCGTACGTCTCTGTCGGCCGTGTTCTTCTTCTGCTTCGTCGGGACCAGCCAGCCGCCAACACAGCAAGCAACACCACGAATGTGTTTTTTGGGAGGTGTCGGCAATTGCTGCGGTTAAGGGAGAGAGCGACGTCAATGCGCAGCTGCGACTTGACCTACTCGGCATCTAACAACTGCGGCAGGGGGAACGCGGTGCGGCGCGTTGGCTGGAGATATGGCGGGCAGGCTAGTCAAAGAACTGCTTCGCATCTAAAATGACTGCCCGTGCTGCACCATTGTTCACTAGCCATCCCATATACGTAGAGACTGGATCGCACGTTCGGCATTCAGTCAAGGGCATCTTGGCTTTCGCTTGACATTGAAGGCAACGCTTCTCCTTCATTCAATAAATAAGAATAATAAATACAAAATAACAATTAGACATTCCCAAACCATTAAGCATTCCCAAACCATGCCAAATCACGCAACATTCGAGCGATACCCCCACCACTTTGCGACGCATTTTTTACTCGAGTTCCCCCCGTGGGAAGATGTGGGGGCAATTTTTTGAGTGGTGCCGTAATAGCGTAGTTACATGCGTTTTATGGTACAACAGAGGTCCTTGCTAGTGTTGCTTCTACATTCGACTCACTCTACTCACTTCTACTCACTTGTGCAATGCCGTACGTACGTGCGTCCATACGAACGCGCCGCAAAGCATTCCCCTCGCCGCAGGTGTTGGAGTGGTGCCAAGTAGGTCACGCCACAGCTGTGCATTGACGTCAAGCTCCCCTCGCAGGTGCGCGCTGACGTCACTCTCTCCCTCACTCTCAGCACACTTGCCGAAAGCGCCCGCAGCTGCCGGCTCCTCCGCCCGCTCGCAACACACTTCTCTCTCGCTTCCACCTCTCCACCGCCCGTAATGCTCGACCCCACGTCGAGCTGAAAAACTTTAACACGGAACCCAACCCGCTTTCCGTGTCTCAGCGTTTCAAACAAATGTTTACTCGAGTAAACGCTACACCAAGTTTCGCTTCAAAGCGTTTTTTCAGCACCCGCGTCAACGCCCCTTTCAGCCGGGTCAACGGCACGCGCAACGCTGCTGCTTCGCAACTACTGCAACAGATGGCGCCTCAGTCAGCATGGGAATGAAGGGTAGTACACGAATTTTGTGTCTTCAACCGCTTGAACACTGAAATAGCGCCTCAGCCAACGTGGGAATGAAGGGTAGTATATCGATTGGTCTACACTTCGTTCTTTCGGCTCCTTTTGACTGAAGCTGATTTGCCGCAAAACGAAATACAACAAATGTTCACTATTTTCACTTCACCAAACATAACTTTTCAAGCTCACCGATTCTAATCGTTTCGCGAAGTTCACAATTATTCATTCTCGTATGCACAACAAACGCAAAAACGCAGTAGTAAACAAAGCCATAAGATCGTCTGAAGCCGCAAGCGCGAAGATTAGGCAAAGTCGTGTACTTCCCATCATTCCCGTGGTGTTTGAACAATCGCAGCGCCACAGTTCCCTCTCATTAGTTTTGAGAAATTATATGTCATAAAAGCCGGAGAGGACAAGGAATTGTTCCTTGGTATTCGTGGCCCACCCGCACTTAGTAGCGCTGCCACGTTACGCATAGTCGATAGCGGCGGCATTAGGTACTCGAGGCGTTTAAAATGTAAAAATAAAATAAAATGCCAGAGCAGGTGGTTTAGAGGTTCTTTAAGAGTGTCATACTAGTGGATATCGTTTAATGTAAATAGAAGATACGACGAAAAAGAAAAGTTGATTGTCCCTGCTTAAAATATAACATTTGGCTAACCCCTGCTGTCAGAATCTCTGATAAGGTTTCTGGTGTCAATGAAGCGTCATATATTAAAAACGAGCGACACAAACGTATGCGTGTAGGTATAAAATCAGGCGGCAAGTGCGTAATTGACAGTATCGTTTGACTGGCTGGGCTCAATATACGCATCTTGTGAGCATGTGGGCGCCAGTCGTAATTGGGACAGATTAGTGCTCTCCCATAGTAAAGTGCATCGTATTTTAAGTCGTTAAACTTTTTTTTTTCTCAATACACATGCTCGAGCCGTACATGCTGCATTTCGCAGTCTCAGAATAAATCGCTTCGTATCATCTGGGCGTTGTTCTCGAGGCCGCTTCGCCTACCTTCTCATTATTGCCGGTTCTTTCCGCCTCTTTCGCAACCGCTGCGAGGCGGTTGCAGCGGGCCGCCGCGCGCTCTTCCTGATCCTAGGGCGATTGCACTCGGAGCTTCTATCTGTTTTGTCGGAGGAGCTCTTATTTCGCGGTGACGAGGAATCCCTCCGGCACTGGTCTTGCCCTTTTCTGTCGATCTGTGACGGATGGGTGAAACTTGCCTTTCGGCCGGCCTCGTATTGGTAGGCTAATGTATCGATGTGTCGACAGAACTGCCATGCCAACATGCAAATACGCGAAATGTATGTACATATTCATGTTTTATTTGTGCCTCTTGTTCACCTTGTAAAATACATGTGTACCTGTCTTTCTGTGCCACATTTTTGTGTGGCTGTGTTTTTTGTGAAACGCTGAACGTATTCTTTCTACGCCATCTCATATTCA